GATTGGATGCAGCCGTTACTCAGCTGAAGCTTTTCCATCCAGCTCCTTAGACTTTTCAGTCAAAGGATGTCAGGCAAGAGGTTGGCGACAAGGTGATACACTTATGCCTAGTAGTAATAAAAAAAAAAAAGGACAAGTATCAATATTTAATAGTTTATTCATTTTAGCATAACAGATTTATTTTGTTACAGGCAATTGTTGAAAAAAATTCTAAAAATTCCAGCATTCAGTACGCAATGGTTAAAACAGAAAACGTAACTACATAAGACATACGTTTCATGTTTTTTTTTCTTCCAGTCACCCACCCCATATTCAAAAACAATTAAATGTATTAAACCTAAACTAGCAAACAAAATGTACTTTAATGTTTATTAAGATAAAGAGCATGTGTATACAAATGTGTTTTAGGGTACTTGTCCATTTCATATTTATTTCCAAGTTGGGAGGCAATGTCAACAATAGTGTTCACATGGAGATCACTGATCATTATACTGTAATGGACAATTTCCCCTCCATGGTCATAAGCGACAGAAACATTTTGGAAGAAAACAGCTCACATCCTTTCAACTTTTCCCAATATCCATATTTGAATAGAAGCCACTTTGATCTGATCACTACACTAGCGTCTATCTAAGAGGACAGATGGATGTGTAGCCTAAGCAGCAGCTGAATACTAGGATACAAATTAGACCCCTTGAAGAAGGTAGCCAACAAGTCTGTTTGAATGCAGCACTGACTGGAGTCTACGTCTAAGCTATTGCTGTGGCTGGATACAGTACAGAACTATCTGGAGGCAGGTCAGTGGGAGGCTATAGATAGCCAGTGTGTCATCAGTATTTACACTGAACAAAATGAGGAAGGACCGAAGCTCGTCATTTTATAGGCAGCTACACAGACAACGATGAAGCAACACAATTCTTAACTCAAGAGTTGAAATTAATTTTTCCCATTAAAATTATGGTTACAAACAACCATGTGACATATTTCTAAAGGTCTATCACTATTTTAAAATGACCATAGTGTGGAGTAAACTGTGGCTTTATTGAAATCCTAATAAGACATTCATTGTACAGTAACAAATATACTGTACCAATAAACTGGTGCCCAGGGCAAGGCTTAATGTGTATGTCACCCCAACACTTCACATTCCTGATGTGTGTCTGTTGCACCATGTACTTACGTTAAAAGTATCCTGTTCTCTTTGTAATGCTTCCTTTTGTGTGAAATACCTGGTGATCCTGGCAGTCACCAGGCTTCCCTATTTCAAACTGACCACTCTAGGCATGAGAGCACATCCATACCAGCGTTCTCAGTTTTCTGGTTGTGCTGGTAGAACTGCTTGCCTGTCCTTCAATGACCAAACTTGTTGCTGAGAAGATCAATGTACTCCACCCCCATATGCAGCGGAGAACAGAAGTTATATGATCACTTTAACAAAAAAAAAAAAAAAGGAATTGATTAATTTTTGTAATTTAAGATTATATATATATATATATATATATATATATATATATAATCTTAAAGTATAATATAAGAACAACCATTTTACTTTTAATTTCTATTTTAGGTTGTCTACAAGGTAAGGGTTCACATTTACTAAACCGGTTATTGAAATGCCAATACGTCCAGTTAAACAAACTGTTTTTGACACTTTGAGGAAATCTAAATCCACAGACAATGTAATATATAGCAGCTTACCAGTCCTTCGATGGAGAGGTTGCATTAGTTTCCTTTTTTAAATTTTTACCCTTTTGTTTTCACCTGGTGATCCCGCAAACACACTTCCTGTCCCTGGATGGTTACAGTCACCCCTCCACTGTATCTATGGAAGGATTTTAAATATATCATTTTCAGGGCTGATGGAATTAGCGGGCAGCACAGTGGCTAAATGGCTAGCACTTCCACCTGGCAGTACTAGGGTTGTTGGTTCAAATCCCAACCACGACACCACCTGCCTGGAGTTTGCATGTTCTCCCTGTGCCTGCGTGGGTTTCCTCTGGGTACTCCAGTTTCCTCCCACACTCCAAAGACATACTAGTAGGTTAATTGGCTCCTGTCTAAATTGGCCCTAGTATGCGTATGTATGAATGTAAGTTAGGGACCTTAGATTGTACACCCATTGAGGGTTAGGGACTGATGTGAATGTACAATATATATATATATATATATATATATATATATATATATATATATATATATATATATATATATATGTAAAGCGCTGCGTAAATTGACGGCTCTATACAAGTACCTGTAATAAAAATTAGTATTTACAGAAAAAAGCTTGTTTGAACTTTAAGTTCACATGAAGAACCCTGAATTTCTGGCAGGATCAACCCTGAATTTCTGGACAGGTATTTTCTGTTCATGTTGAAAATGTTCATGGATGCAGCCACTACATCAAAGGACAGGTAGGAATATATTTCATTTTAGTGTTTAGTTACCCATTCAACAAAGCCCACTGTAACAAATTCTTACATAAGAGCTCTAAGTATGTGTGCCTTTACGCAAAATTCTGGTTTTTCAAAAGTCCAATGAGGAACATCTCCACCACATCCCACAATGTAATATGTGGCAAGGTACTGAGTGATGGCCATCTGTGCACTGTAGGATGTGCTAGGGGCATGGGGAAATTCAGGGCACTGAATGCTGCAGCTGCATGTGGTTATAGGGAAGCCCACAGCAGTGGATTTAGAAGTTGCAAGAAACAGATCAGGTCCTGAGGAAGCGTAGTGTTCATCCCGATGGCCTATTATCAGCTTGCAGGCAGTGACAAGTTTGCCTTAAGCAAGGTATCTCTATAAGCACAGGGCTGCATATGTGTCTATGCAGACATTCTTACCACTGGCGTGGAACTCTAATGGTTTTCCATCTAAGGATGTTGAAACTTATGTATATGGTGGCTCAGATTCATGATTTACATATATATCCCCTAATATCTATGTTGTATCAGGGCATTATATTAGTTTCTTCAGTCAGCTGCAAATTAGCTTTCTTCCATTGAACTCTCTCTTAAACATGCAAAAGCTGTCCAATATACAATTCACATTCACTTTATAATGGGTCAGGTGACTGACAATAAAACATTAAGGACAGTGCACCATGGATACATGCACCTGTTTCAAGAAAGAACATTGCTTTTATGTATTACTTAGCCTCAAACAAGGCACGTTTTCATGTGGAGTCTCTGGCCCAACAAGCCCATGAAACTCTAAATTATTACACACACACACGCACGCGCGCACACACACACACACACACACACACACACGCTTCTAGGTAGCGGGCAGGTGTTTTGTTTTTTTTTTTACATTTAGCCCTGCTGCGGGCAAGTAGCAGGGCTCACCTGTCACGTTACACAGTTAGTCTGGCTGAAAAAAGACAAAAGTCCATCCAGTTCAACCATAGAAAAAAAAAAAAAAAAAAAGTTATAATCCTATACTCACAGTTGATCCAGAGGAAGGCAAAAAGAAACCCAGCAAAACATGATCCAATTTGCACCTGCTGGGAAAAAAAATTCCTTCCTGATCCCCCCCGGAGACAATCAGATATTCCCTGCCACCTGATTGCTTCCATACAGCCCACTATGGTGCCAGCCTCTGTCCCCCTGCCCACTATGTCTCCCGGGCTCCGCCTGCCCATCTGCAGGCCCAGGACCAGTTTAGTGGGTGCCGGCAGGTATAGGGGAGGGAGAGAGCAGCAGGCACATCCACTCCCCTCCCCTTCTTGTCCTGACCCGGAAGTGAGGTGAGGTCACTTCCGGGTCTCCATTGGCAGATTTCCCAACGATCAAGGCTGGGAAAGAATGTAATGCAGTGCGATGTGCACTGCATTACATCCAGTGTAGTACAGGGGAGACATGCAGGGTCTTTTAGACCTTGGATGTGTCAAAAAAAAAAAAAAAAAAAAAAAAAGAACCTGTCACTAAACATCATCATGTTATGAAAAAAAAAAAAAAGTTAAAGTAAAAATAAATGTTTTTTTATTTTTAAAAAATTTAAATTTACACCCAAGCATTTAACCCCCCTCCCTCCCTACCCCCACATATGTACGCATGTATAAAACGTAAAAGTATGTGCTGGGGTGCCTACACATGAAAATGACGATTGCGATACATGTTACATATCGCCGCACACACCAGAATGAGAGCAATAATTCTAGCACCAGACCTCCTCTGTAACCCTAAACTAATGACCTATAAAGGAGCTTTAAAAGAATCACCTATAGAAAATATAGGGTACTAAAATTTGTTGCCATTTCACGAGCACACACATGCAACCTCATCTTTTAGATGTTACAAAAAAATTGGATAATGTTTTGCTGTTTGTGTCCTAAAATTAACTTCAGTATTTGTTACTGAAATTTTGCGTTTCCTAGACCTTTGTGATAATATCGTGTGACATAAGAAATTGGAACTACCACTATTTTATTCTCTAGGGTCTCTGATTTCAGAAAATATAGAATGTTTTGGAGTTTTGTGTAACCCTCAGTACTTTTCACGTTTTTTGCACACGGCACACGTTTAAAAAAAAAAATCACTAAACAGAGAAAAGGGTAAAGGATAAGCCCGACACTCTCCTTTCCTGACAAGCACCCAATCGGTGCTCATTACACTGCGAGGCCTCTCCCCTCCCTGCTAGTCCCCGGGTGAGGTGCTGGAGACAGGAAGGGAGGGGAGGAGGAGGTAACCAGCGCAATGTTAAAAATATTAAGTGTTAAAGTCGCCATAAAGCCCCTTTTGTTTTTAAAATCCCCAGACATTACTTAAAAGCAGATTTAAATACAGTTTTGGTTAGAATTTATTTTTTTATCAGGACAAGTAGACTGGGGCACTGATTCTTTCCCTACACACACACTATTGAAATATGTAAAAAAGTGAGTATCTCAATGTATCTTGCATTTTGCACAATGCTTGTTCAATACAGTATTCCTCACATTCTCATTTTGTGTGACAAAACTGGCGTCATTTTACTTTTGTGGTTCCATGTAAATTTGAAATTTCATATATTTACTTGTGTCAGATACAGTGTAAAACACAGCAAGAACAACACCACAGACAGGCATTAAGATATATTTCTTATATTTCTGCCAGATAGATGGCTGAATCTCAGCTTCATCCCTCTTCCTGTTCTTTTTCCGTTTTCCTTTCAGACGGTTTTCGAATGCTTCTAATTCAGCCTATGAAAGGGAACATTCACACAGGTAAATTTATTTATTACAGGTACTTTCAGTATATATCACCATCAATTTACACAGAATATATATATTTTCAGGTTTCAGTGAAAATTTTGAAAAAAAAAACAAAAAAAAAAACGAGTTTCTTTGTTTCTGTTATAAAAGTTTGCAAATAAAATAATTGTTCTTCATAAATTTAGGCCAATATGTATTCTGCTACATGTCTTTAAAGAATAAATACTGACTTGGGTTATTTTTACCAGTCTGTAGGAAAGTTATAGAGTTCACAAACTATGGGATATATCTGAAAATTGATCAATCCTGAAAGTACTAACAGCCAATCTAATATCTTGAGGCCCAAAAGTGTCAGAACAGTACAGATATCCCCCAAATGACCCCTTTTTGCAAAGTAGACAGTCTGACTTATTTCATAAGAGGTAAGTTTTTTAAACTTGTAATTTTTGTCATAATTTTTCAGAAAATTACTTAAAAAAATTATTTTCACACTTTGTTTTTTTACATACGGCCACCAGCGCAGTACAGCGTCATCATATAACTGGTGTGGCAATGATCAGGGACAATGACTAGTGACAGAACAAAAAAAAAAAAAAAAAATTGATTAATTTTTTTTTTAATTTTGGTTTTTATTAAATGTTTTTTTTTTATTAAGACTTTTTTTTCATATTACACTATGACCAAAGTAGTATAATGGTACAATAGTAACATTGTACTACTTTGGGGAAGTGATCAGTATTTTTTTTTTTTTTTTTACACAATTTGTTTGCTTATAGCAAAGAAATTCTTTGCTATAAGCAAGTATTTAACTGAATGAAATCGATTCATTCACCTTTTTTTTTTGTTGCGATTAGCTGTGATTGGCCACGGCTAATCACATGACACAGATGGGCTGTGACTGGCCCAGCCTGTGCATGTGATCACTGTGACCATTCACAGCTAGACACACTTGTATACAATGAATGACTTCCTTTCATGCCATCCATTGTATACAACTGTCATGCGACTTGCTGTGATTGGTCACAGCAGGTCACATTATACTGGCAACTTGTTTAGCTAACTGCAGTGAACATGCATGATGATTTTCATTAACCCTTCTTGTCAGAAGATGCTCCTTTCGAGGTGTTAACTTCCATAGATGGCCTGGACATCTCTGTGAGATGGTTGCAGTTCCATCTTTGTTCAATTTTTGTATCACTTTTGCTACAGTATTCTGACTGATAAGTAAAGCTTTGCTGATCTTCTTGTAGCCTTCACTTTTCTTGTGTAAAGAAATTTTATTTCTCAGGCCATTCTTGACACTAAGAAATGGGAAGGGGTTTTCTTTAAGTAAAACCCTTTTATAATCCACTGTCTGCTAGACAACTGTTTAGCTAGAATTCAACTACAGGTGAGTCTAATTATTCATTAATTAGGAGCAAAGCTACATGTTTTAGAACAAAATCCTAAGACTTTCATTGGGGTGTATTCACTTTTGCAACATGGTCTTAAATTCATTTGTTAGTAAAAATACTTCTTTGTGTGTGCAAATTAACAAATCTTGTTTGCAATCAATGGCCCACATTTGTGGGAGTATTAAGTAGTACAGTGTCCCATAGAAAATGTTGATTCTGAAAGGGTAGTAAGTTTTCTGACAAATCTGCTGGGATGTACTAATTTCTTCTGAACACTGTATATTGTACGCTCACAACAGTCCCTATCCTCAGGGAGCTTACAGTCTAAGGATCCTAACTCACATTCATACATACACATACTAGGGCCAATTTAGAAAGGAGCTAATTAACCTACCTGCATGTCTTTGGAGTGTGGGAGGAAAAGAGAGAATCCGAAAGAAACTCATGCAGGCACAGGGAGAACATGCAAACTCTCTGCAGGTAGTGCCATGGTTGAGATTTGAACCAATCACCCTAGTGCTGCTAGGTGGAAGTGTTAACCATCTGACCATTGTGCTGCCCCCAAATGGCAATGTAAATTTTACAGGGAGAAGGGTTAGAACCTCTTTTTTCACTCCTGTGTATCTTCTTGGGGAGATATCCCTTACATCCTGTCTAAGAGAGCACATAGGAAGTGAGGGGAAACTCCTCAACAAAACACATATAGAAATAAAACCTCCTCCCTTCCGCAAAACTCTGAAATGTAAAGATTGCAGAATCACAGAGGAGAAGCACACATAATCATAGCCATGGAAGTGTTGCCTTGGAAATGAAAGTTTGGAAACTGTTCTGTTGCAAATGACATTGCCAGATCTGCTTTGTAATCAGTGGTCCAAGGCACGGTGTGCGACTATTCATGCACACAATAAGTAGTTGCAAACAACAATACCCATTAAGGCAAAGCATAGATGATTCAATTTTCCACAGGTTGCAGGAACAAAAAAAATTGTTCAATGCCCCCATCAACACAGCGCTATTGTGTTCTGGCAGTGGCAAGCCCTATCAGCTGACAGAACACAATGATTACTGCTGGCGGCTATATTCGTCAGCAGTAATTGCATGTAAAAAATCTGACTGGCTGGTTGTACCCAAGTAAATTGATGGATTGATTTGGGTACAATCAGGGGGTGTCAGAGGGGCCCATCCAGGGGGTGTCAGAGGGGACAGTCCAGGGGGTGTCAGAGGGGACAGTCCAGGGAAGCTTTTTACAGGAACATGGGGCTCCAGCATCAACACATTATGAGAGTGATGTAGGAAAAAACAAACACCCCACTGAGGCTGAGCCATTCAGTTCAATAAACAACTCAATACAAAGCAGTTTTAAGCGTGCGGACTTTATCACATTCCTTGTGAATTACTTATTGTGCTGTACTCCATGCTGGGAGATAACAGGCGTGTGACAGCACTTCCCCAGGCCGCAAATGAAATCCAGCTATACCAGAAATCTTTCAAAACGCTTTGTAGGCTTGTAGAGAACAAAATGTAGGCTAGGATGATGGGCATATTGTACACAGCATGCTGGCTTGTTAGCCCCAACTCTGACAACCTGAAAACACTACAAAGCCTCCAATCTCTTGAAATATGTTTTGTGTTGCCTTCATTTTACACAATCTATAAAATATGTTATCTTAAAGCAGAACTAAACTTGCCCTATTTAAAGGCAATCAATGCTATGTATTTGGGAAAAGACATGCATGAATGCAAACCTGAGTGATCTCCATTACTGCAGGGTTAGGCTTTACTGTCAGGATATCCCCAGAGGCCATATGTTTACCCCACTTCTTCCCAAGTATGTCAGAGCTTTGATACACATACATACCATAATGTCAAAATGAAGTATGGCACAGTGGGTTGGGAAAAACTGAAACTCAAAACACATTGCCAGAGTCTCTGTTGACTCTGGGACTCTGTTGCCCCTTGGAAGATATCCCTTCGGACCAAACAAGCGTAGGGCAGAGTTTAGCAGTGATCACACCTGCCCGGAGAGAGTTGGCAGTGCTGTGCAAATATACTTGTCATACTGTTTTGTGAGTACCCACTTAGTGATGTACTATTTCAAAACTTTTAATAATAAACCATGTGATTTCCTTGCTCTTTCCTTGGTATGGGTTTTTTTGCTGCTGAGACTGGTATATGAGAAGCGAGCCAGTTACCACTTTTGTGGCATGCCATTCATGAGAGAATGAGGCTTGCTGAGGTGTGAGAGGAAGAAAGCTTGAGCCATCCTCCATCCATGCAGAATATGTCATATTTTAAATGCCGATTTAGACCTCTGTGGGGTCTAAGAATTTGGTAAGCAGCATTATAATCACTTGCTGGTTGGTGCACAGCTACTGCATGAAAGTTTTGCACACTTTTGGTGGAATATGTGATTTACTTTGTAGGACTATTTTTTTTTTTTTTATCGGTTTGTTATATACTATGTATTGAATTAGAAGTTTTCCTGACAGCACAACAATATCAGTGCTGCAGTCAGTATTTTTGCATTCTCACCTTCATTTACTTCGACTGATTAATTTGCCAAGGGTGGGTTAAGTACAACACTGGATTTAATAGAGACTGCATGAAAAAAATGAAATGTTTAGTTGTGCTTTAAAAGTGCATGCTTAGATTTGGATAAACTAGGGAAAGGTTAGAACCCCTATCAATGTTTTTTTGCTTTCTGTGTCTCTTTGGACAAATAGTAAAGGGACATACATTTGACAAACAACCAATGTCACCAGCACTGAAAATTAAAGGAAAATCCAAGCTTTTGAATTGTCACTTAATGGTTTTTGTTGCAAGTGCACCAATAAGGCTACAGTCATCTCAAGGGTACATTATTTGGGCACTTGTTCCAGTGACATCTGTCTATGGGGATTCCCCTTCCTTTGTAGAAATCTCCTCTCATTTCCTGTTATGTCTCAAGACAGAAAGAGCAGAGGTGGTGTTTAGACAGCTTGCAGGAGGAAGACAGCCAAAGAGACCCTCTGCAGTATGCGGTTCTTTCACTGTCCGGGGAGCAGGCAGGTGACACAGGAAAAAGAGAGGAGAAAGTTCCTGGTCAATTTGCCAGCCAGCTTGCCAACAACCGAATGAACCTGTCTAACAGTATGCGTTAAAAACAGGGGTTTAGTTAGCACACATTTGTAAATACATACGTAAGCCACAGAGCCACGTCACGGCACCCCGATATTCTGTGGTCCTAACTCTACAAATTTTGAGAGCCCCCATAGTAGAGGCACATGTATTTAATGGATAGATCAAGGGCAGGTGAACCTGAGGGAGCCCACCCCTCCATAAAAAAGGCACATGAGTGCACTGAACACCCAGCATATAGCACAATGGCAGCCAGGGTGTCCTAGTGCACCCACTTACCTACAATTCATCAGTACAAAAAATGGCCACTGCCTCAGTCTATAACTGGCTTTTGCAGCAAGGACAAATGAACAGGCAATGCATGCCAAAGACAAAAGAGAGGAGAAAGTTCCTGGTCAACTTGCAAGTCAGCTTGCCAAAAACCGAATTAATTCGGCTGGCAAGTTGACCAGGAACTTTCTCCTCTCTTTTGTCTTTGACATGCGTTGCCTGTTCATTTGTCCTTGCTGCAAAAGCCAGTTATAGACTGGGGCAGTGGCCACTTTTTGTATAGGTGACACAGGAAGCAAGTCTGCCATAGCACATTGTGGCGTCACTATACTGTATTATCGCAATAAAATTATTCAGGGTGTTAGAAGCAAAGTCTGAACAGATATACAATATTCTGGCAGACAAAACAGTACAAAAAGATATTTCAACTGTGTACTAAGCTGTTTGGCTGAGGTTTCACTTTTTTTTTGTTACCTAGAATAATCGTATTTTTGAGCTTGCTGTATGTTTTCCAGTACAGGTTTGAATACAAGCCCGGTTACTATAGGCAGTACCCCATAGTTTTTTTTTTTTTTTCTCTTTTCACATTTTCTATCCATAACATACTTTTCAATTTCATTTTTTATTAAATTTTACTGGCTGCCACAGAAGATCAGTAAATCAAGATGCCATGTACAGTATGTATTACAATAGCTGTTGGAATAACACTCAACTGATTGCAATGAGCCAGTTATATAAAATTGCAGAGGATTAACCCCTTAGGTTAATATAATAAGCATACTGTGAAACATATACAGACTGATTTTACTATTGTGGGTTTAGTAACACCTTAAGACAAGTCTATAAATGTTTTGTACTTTAAAAAAGGTTGAAAAAGTGAACTTTGGCATTGATGCACCCAGAGGCACAAAATGATCACCACACCATCATGGAATTTTATTCAGAAATGGTTGACAATATGGATATCTAGAGGCACCCGTGAAATCAGCAGTCTTATGTGAGTAGCCTTACTGGGTACTGACCAACCTACTGGGATAAAACAAGTATTGCCTGATAAGTGACTATTAAAAAGTAGAAAGACGTATAGCAATGGCACCTGTCAATGTTCCTATCTGCATACAACACAAATATTAATTGTAATGTCATTAGTAAGACTCTAGGTACCTGCTGCTTGCGCTTCTCTTCCTCATTTGCCGCCTTCGTTTCCTTTTCTTTCATCTGCAAAAAAGTATATAAATATTTAAAAATGAAGAACATAGGTCTTGTACCTAAATTTCAAGATTTATTCACTCATATATTTGATTCTGCTACCCTCCCTTCCTCCATGGGGGAAGCCCTGATTGTAATTATACGCAAACCCAGCAAAGATTCGCTATTCCCGGAGTCTCACCGCACTCTCTCTCTATTACAATTGGACATTAAAATTTTGGCAAAAATTCTGGCCCTCCGCCTTAATAAAGTAATCCTTAACTTGATTCACTCAGATCATATAGGATTCATTCCAAAGAAAAATACAGCTTTTAATCTTAGGCGACACAGCCACTCATGACTCTGTTGGGTCGCGGGTGGTGGTCAGTTTAGACATTGCTAAGACATTCCACTTGGTAGAAAGGGCAGATTTATGGAAATGCTTCCGTAGGTTCAGTTTTGGACCAACATTTATTAAATGGCTTCACTTTTATACCAGGCTTCCACTGCTCGGATTCAGGTTAAACAGCAGAGTCTCCAGCCCCTTTCCCTTATCCAGGGAAACGAGACAATGTTCCACCTATCCCCACTGCTTTATGCTTTAGCTGTAGAACCCTTAGCAAAAGCCATTAGAACCCATCCAGAGATCAGAGGGTTACAGTCGGACAGTTGGTAAAACCATTAGCCTTTATTATGTTGTATCTGAGAAATGCGGGTCCTTCCCTGTCAGCTGCACTGCGCCCTATTAAACACTTTGGGAAATACTCGGGGATGCAAACTAAACGGGAGAAATCCCAAATCCTCCCTTTGGTACAAGCCAGTATGATTACATATTTGGGTATCCTGGTTACCAGATCCCCAGAAGACTATGCTAGACTCAACTTGGAACCTTTTTACACAACTAATAAGTCCAAAATGAAGATGTGGCCCTGTTTCCCCCTTGGTTTTATGGGGTGCATTATCTTCATGAAAATGATTTGCTGTCCAAAACTTCCATACAGTCTGTGGCATTTCCCCCTTATATTTACTGCTTTTTATATTTAAATCCTTGGAAGCAATATTTAACCCTTTTATATGGGGTAATGCCCAACATAAAAATTGTCATGGTAAGCTGTAAAGAACCCCATGAGTTTGGGCGGCACAGCTATTCTAGACCGTAATCTATAATATTTGGATGCCCAACTGTCTAATTTGTTTCCACTTTGACAAAGGAGATCAGGAACGCTATATTATTTTAGTATGTACAAATATTTCCTGTTTGATTATCTATCCCTTACAGATTCTTCTGACTGACACACATGACCCTACTCAGCTAGGATCACCATATATCTCACCATTCCATATATACAGTGGGGATCGAAAGTTTGGGCACCCCAGCTAAAAATTTGTATTAATGTGCATAAAGAAGCCAAGGAAAGATGGAAAAATCTCCAAAAGGCATCAAATTACAGATTAGACATTCTTATAATATGTCAACAAAAGTTAGATTTTATTTCCATCATTTACACTTTCAAAATAACAGAAAACAAAAAAAATGGCGTCTGCAAAAGTTTGGGCACCCTGCAGAGTTAATATCTTGTACTGCCCCCTTTGGCAAGTATCACAGCTTGTAAACGCTTTTTGTAGCCAGCCAAGAGTCTTTCAATTCTTGTTTGAGGTATCTTTGCCCATTCTTCCTTACAAAAGTCTTCCAGTTCTTTGAGATTTCTGGGCTGTCTGTCACGCACTGCTCTTTTAAGGTCTATCCATAGATTTTCAATTATGTTGAGGTCAGGAGATTGTGAAGGCCATGGCAAAACCTTCAGTTTACACGTCTTGATGTAATCCCCCGTGGATTTCGAGGTGTGTTTAGGATCATTATCAATTTGTAGAAGCCATCCTCTCTTTAACTTCAGCTTTTTCACAGATGGCATCAAGTTACCATACAAAATTTGCTGAAATTTTATTGAATCCATTTTTCCTTCTACTCGTGAGATGTTCCCTGTGCCACTGGCTGCAACACAACCCCAAAGCATGATTGATCCAACCCCATGCTTAACAGTTGGACAGAGGTTCTTTTCATTAAATTCTGTGCCCCTTCTTCTCCAAACGTACCTTTGCTCATTCCGGCCAAAAAGTTCAATTTTAACCTCATCGGTCCACAGAACTTGTTTCCAAAATGCATCAGGCTTGTCTATATGTTCATTTGCAAAGTTCAAACGATGATTTTTGTGGTGAGGACGTAGAAGAAGTTTTCTTCTGATGACTCTTCCATGAAGACCATATTTGTACAAGTATCTCTTTATAGTGGAATAGTGTACCACAACTCCAGTGTCTGCCAGATCTTTCTGGAGGGATCGTGCAGTCAAACGTGGGTTTTGAATTGTTTTTCTCACAATCCTGCGAGCTGTTCTGTCTGATATTTTTCTTGGTCTTCCAGATCTTGCTTTAACTTCCACTGTTCCTGATGACTGCCATTTCTTAATTACATTCCGAACGGAGGATATTGACATCTGAAAACGCTTTGCTATCTTCTTATAGCCTTCTCCAACTTTGTGAGCGTCAACTATTTTCAGTTTCAGTTTTCTAGACAACTGCTTAGAAGAACCCATGGTGCTGATTGTTGGGGCAAGGTCAGATGAGTCTGAGCATTTAAAACCTTTGAGATTGACATCACCTGGTCTTCCCAGACGATGATTGAGAACAATCCATGACACTGGCAGGTCTCAGCTTTGCAAAGGGGGCAGTGCATGCTATAAATTCTGCAGGGTGGCCAAACTTTTGCAGACGCCATTTTTTTGTTTTCTGTTATTTTGAAAGTGTAAATGATGGAAATAAAATCTAACTTTTGTTGACATATTATAAGAATGTCTAATCTGTAATTTGCTGCCTTTTGGAGATTTTTCCATCTTTCCTTGGCTTCTTTATGCACATTAATACAAATTTTTAGCTGGGGTGCCCAAACTTTCGATCCCCACTGTAATATACAGTCATGGCCGAAATTGTTGGCACCCTTGATATTTCTCCAGGAAATCATGTATTTCTCACGAAACGTATTGCATTAACACATGTTTTGCTATACACATGTTTATTCCCTTTGTGTGTATTGGGACAAAACAAAAAAAGGGAGAAAGAAAGCAAATTCGACATAATGTCACACAAACCTCCAAAAATGGGCTGGACAAAAGTATTGGCACCCTTTCACAACTGCGGATAAATAAGAATGTTACAAGCATGTGATGCTCCTGTAAACTCACCTGGGGCAAGTAACAGGTGTGGGCAATATAGAAATCACACCTGAAAGCAGATAAAAAGGAGAGACGTTCACTATAACCTTTGCATTGTGTGTCTGTCTGTGCCACACTAAGCATGGACAACAGAAAGAGGAGACGAGAACTGTCTGAGGACCTGAGAACCAAAATTGTGGCAAAATATCAACAATCTCAAGGTTACAAGTCCATCTCCAGAGAACTAGATTTGCCTTTGTCCACAGTGCGCAACATTATCAAGAAGTTTGCAACCCATGGCACTGTAGCTAATCTCCCTGGTCGTGGACGGATGAGGAAAATTGATGAAAGATTGCAACGCAGAATAGTCCGGATGGTGGATAAGCAGCCCCAAACATGTTCCAAAGACATTCAAGCTGTCCTGCAGGCTCAGGGAGCATCAGTGTCAGCGCGAACTATCCGTCGACATTTAAATGAAATGAAACGCTATGGCAGGAGACCCAGGAGGACCCCACTGCTGACACAGAGACATAAAAAAGCAAGACTACAGTTTGCCAAAATGTACTTGAGTAAGCCAAAAGCCTTCTGGGAAAACGTCTTGTGGACAGATGAGACCAAGATAGAGCTTTTCGGTAAAGCACATCATTCTACTGTTTACCGAAAACGGAATGAGGCCTACAAAGAAACAAAACACAGTACCTACGGTAAAATATGGTGGAGGTTCAATGATGTTTTGGGGTTGTTTTGCTGCCTCTGGCACTGGGTGCCTTGACTGTGTGCAAGGCATCATGAAATCTGAGGATTACCAAAGGATTTTGGGTCGCACTGTAGGGCCCAGTGTCAGAAAGCTGGGTTTGCGTCCAAGATCCTGGGTCTTCCAGCAGGACAATGACCCCAAACATACGTCAAAAAGCACTCAGAAATGGATGGCAAAGAAGCGCTGGAGAGTTCTGAAGTGGCCAGCAATGAGCCCAGATCTAAATCCCATTGAACACCTGTGGAGAGATCTTAAAATTGCTGTTGGGAAAAGGTGTCCTTCCAATAAGAGAGACCTGGAGCTGTTTGCAAAGGAAGAGTGGTCCAAAATTCCGGGTGAGAGGTGTCAGAAGCTTATTGATGGTTATAGGAAGCGACTGATTTCAGTTATGTTTTCCAAAGGGTGTGCAACCAAATATTAAGTTAAGGGTGCCAATACTTTTGTCCAGCCCATTTTTGGGGTTTTGTGTGACATTATGTCATATTTGCTTTTCTGCCTCTGTTTTATATTTGTTCCAATACATACAAAGGGAATAAACATGTGTATAGCAAAACATGTGTTAATGCAATACCTTTTTTGTGTGAAATACTTGATTTTCAGGAAAAATATCAAGGGTGCCAACAATTTCGGCCATGACTGTATATATATATAATATATCTCACTATTGTAAGGTTTGGGAATTAGAAGCACATAGGACAAAAACACTCCAGTTATCCACAAATACGCACCCGCCTGCCATAAGTACCCACTGTGCTCGACCCTGAGGTATGGGTTGCTAGAGGGGTCATATAACTTTCCCATATTTTTCTACAAGAAACACTTTTTATGGCCAGAAGGTTGATTGCCAGGGTATGGCTCAGGGCTTTACCACCTATTCAGGAATGGGTAGCTGAACTTAACCTTACATTACCATTTAAGAAAATACTTTACCTTCACAGACGCTGCCCGGCTAAATACCATGAGATTTGGGACAGGTGGCTAGATCAGACCTCTAAATGCTTACATGATGAATCTGCAACCCTCTAATTTTCATGTTTTTCTGTCTACTGTGCTTATTTTTCTAGCTATGCATACCAAACCTGCAGTGATATGTACCCATGTACCTGTGTGAATATTGTAGTAATAAAAAGCAAATGAACAGCCTAAAGAATAAGTCTGTTTAAAATTCTAAAATTGGCTTTGGGGCACAAGGAAGGAGAAGGAGGAGCACATGAAAACACAGTGACGTGCCTGGCAAATACAGCGGGCAAATACGTTAAATCCTATGTGGGCATATCTACAAGAGCTCCTCACATATGCTGCTAATCTATCTCAAACCACATAAGGTATCGGGTAAAATATGCAGGAATTTACCTCTACAGCTTTTTTTTTTCTTCAGTTCTAAACAAAGCGAATCACACTCCAGTGAAACATGTCCCTCACGCGCGGTGTTACATGGGAACTCCTACAATTGGAAAAGGAGAACAATGTTTTGATCAGCAGTTCACGTAAGTCACTACATCAAGCAGATCTAAGGAGGAAGACAGATGAAAGATCCAACATCTTCACATGTAACATTCTGTTAATCATAAATGATGTATGAAATATTGCAAAATATAAAAAGAAAGACTCTAATTAATGCATGCAAAGCATAGACTACACAGAGAGCTCTTGCTAGCTCTATGAGGTATTAAAGAGTATGTAAAGCCAACATTTAATATTCCTGATATGTGCCTGTTGTACTATGCACGTGCATGAAAAAGTATCCTGATCTCTTTGTACTTTTTTCTTTGTGTGAAATCCCTGGCGTTCCTGCCAGTCCTGCTTTCCTATTTTTTTTTTTAACTGACCACACTAGGCATGAGAGCAGAGCGTGGTCAGTTCGCTAGCTGTGCTGGGAACTCAGCCTGCTCTCCTCCACTGATCAGACTTTTTATGACATGCCACCCTTGCACAGCCTTTCACTGGGAAGTTCAGTGTCCTGCTGTTTCTCTTCCCCCAGCTCTTATGCAGCTGAGAACAGAGGGTAGGTGATATTAGGTATTTATAAATGCTTTTCATCTGTATATACAAAAGTTTTACTTTTCATTTCTACTTTAAAATTAATGGGTTGTTTTATAAGGCGAGGGCTTACAATCATTTTACGTGAATTTACACCCTTACTTGGGTGTCGTTAAAGCCTTGGGACACATTAACACTGCAGATCTTCCCTTATGTAGATATTTGGGAGAGCTGACATTCAGTAAGTGCTCTTCCCAAGCAAATGAATGCCAGATTGAGGTGGGGAAAAATAAAATACCAAGTGTTCTAAGGGAAAAGGATAGCTCTGTTGCAGCAATTATCCTTAGATCTAATGCCACAACAAAGAGGCTGTACACAGCATAAACAAAGGCTGCGGACAGGACATGATGAAGAACTAGGTAAATAAGTCTGGGGTCACCAGAAGAACAAGATCAGAGGAAAAATGTGTCCTTGATCTGCTGTAGAAAGTCATGTCTTTCTCCATCCATTGTAACTAATGAAAAAAAGGTGTGAAAAGAGCTTCAACCACTTGTGTGAATTCTTCTACATGAGGATCAAGAGCTGCTGGAAAAAGAAAACTAATTATCCAAGCTTCATTAAAGGGATACAACTGCGTGTTTCACTGGATGGTCGTTATTTTATTTCCGCAAAATCTATTTAACCCCTTGCCCTCCTGAGGATTTACTCCCCTTCTTGACCAGGCCATTTTTTGCGATACGGCGCTGCGTTACTTTAACTGACAATTGTGCGGTCATGCAACGCTGCATCCAAATTAAATTTACATTCTTTTTTTTTCCCACGAAATAAGCTTTCTTGTGGTGGTACTTGATCGCCTATGCGGTTTTATTTTTTGCGCTATAAAAAAAACAAATGAAAAAAAGAGAAATAATAATCAGCGCAAATACTGAAACCAAGTCCGGAACAGTCTGATAGTAGGTAACGATGGTTAGGGTGACTTGAATTGGGGGGTCCGTATGGCACTAAGGGCAAACTCCATGTAGTACTGTAGCAAAATCTGTGTGTTAAGGAGAGAAGGAGAAGCGCTCTAAGTGCAGCAGACCACTTGAATATAGTATAAAAGTAGGAACACTCACATTTAGGTAGATTAATACAGGCATGTTAAATGTAAAGTGTAAACACCAAATAGAACAGCTGTCACAGGTGCCCACTGTGTCCACATCTCGCTGGAGCAGCATGGTGGCTTGAGGGAGACAGCTGTGGAGCCGGCCGGCGTGCACGTACTCCTCAATGGCAGCTGGAACGCACGCTGGAGCGCAACGTCGGCATGGTGACGTCAGTGACCAGGATTCAATGCAACGCGTTTCGGAGCATGCACTGGCCTCTAGTGGCGGAAGCGCGCTCCTTTGTCAAGCATGACAAAGGAGCGCAATTCCACCACTAGATGCCAGCATGCTCTGAAACGCATCGCATTGAATCCTGGTCACTGACGTCATCACGCCCACGTTGCGTTCCAGCTGCCATTGAGGAGTACGTGCACGCCGGCCGGCTCCACAGCTGTCTCTCTCCAGCCACCATGCTGCTCCAGCGAGACGCGGACACAGTGGGCACCTGTGACAGCCATTCTATTTGGTGTTCAACACCTTACATTTAACATGTCTGTATAAATCTACCTAAATGTGAGTGTTCCTACTTTTATACTATATTAAAGTGGTCTGCTGCACTTAGAGGCGCTTCTCCTTCTCTTCATAAAAAAAAAACAAAGCCCAACAATTTTGAGAAAAAACACAAGAATTTTGACTTTTTGCTATTAAACATGTCCAGCAAAAACTAAAAAAAAAAAATCTAATTTCGTCATAAATTTAGGCCAAAATGTATTCTGTTACATGTCTTTGCTACAAAAAAAATCCCAATACATGTAAATTAATTGGTTTACGTGAAAGTTATAGCGTTTACAAATGGCAGTATAGATACGGTTTTATTTTAATTTTATTTTTTTTTAATCCTTACTAGTAATGGCAGCGATCAGCGACTTATAGCAGGACTGCGGTGGGCATTCTGACATGGGCAGGAACTGACTTGGTGTCACTGACACCAATACAGTGATCAGTGCTGAAAAGGAAAAAAAAAAAAAAAACTGACTGTACTTATGGCACTGGGCAGGAAGGGGTTAACATGAGGTGCGATCAAAGGGTTAACTGTTATTTTACTTGTGTCTGTGCTTCATTGTAATATAACACTGCTTTGGATGGCTGTGTTATGCACAGGCATCCAAAGCAGTGTGCACGAGCTGACAGGGAGGAGAACTGTATTGTTTACATACAGTTCTCCTCCCTGTCGGAGATGCGCCCCTACCTGGAAATGCAAAATCACATATACACACACACACACACACACACACACACACACACACACACACACGATTTTGCACACCCGTGCCACCCTGTAGCAGTATATCTGCTATAGGGCGGTCAGAAAACGGTTAAAATACTAGTTCACCTCGTTAAAAAAAATCCCCTCAGCCTCCCATGTACAACAGGAGCAACATCCCATTCAAGAATATAAGACAAGTGTGCAGGTATGGCCAGCCTGACACTAGATTTCTACTGGCTCAACTGTAGACCGCATGATGAGCTGTAGCAAACAGTGGCTGGTGTTTTTTTTTTTTTTTTTTCTGAGAAACTGGTGAACTTGCATTATTTATTTAAAAGCATGTACCATATTTGCAAGTTTGTCAATATATACAGATTTCCCTTCTTGTCAATCATATACAGATTTCCCTTCTTGTCATCTGCAAAACTGGCCCTACATGTCACAGACTGTTTGTCTAGGTAGGCCCTCAAATTGCATAGTTTGGTAAATCTAAAGGAAGATTGTACAATCACTTTGCTTGATATAAATTCACTTTGTATCCAATCAAGCACTACATAGCTAATGGCAGATCAAAGAAAGATAGTACAATAAAATTCTAACATGTATGGTCAAGCTTTAGTGCAACTGACATCAACAAGCTACATTCACACCAGCCGTTGGAATCCAGTGGCCACACATCACTGGCCATGTTAAAGAGGCATTAGTGGATAATCCCTTCTAGCAAATCAAGCAGGATATGCATGTAGCTTTAAAGTACTAAATTCTTACAGACTTGCAATGAAAAGGAGGAGGAGGAGGAGTGGCTAGATGTTATCAGCTGTGGGGACAGCGGGAATCCACTGCTTTTCTCGCAACAGGCAAAAAAATGAATTCTGAAGAAGAGTGGAATGTTCATGTTTATGTGCTCACTGGCAGAATATGACCACTCAGGTTTAACTAAGCTTGGCATATGTATATAGATCACTGTTCATTAAAAATTTCAAATCGAAACAAAAATGATTAAATAATAACTCATCTAATATCCATATGAAAGTCACACATACATGCATATGTGCTCTTGGATAGGGGTCTCCAAACCTTGTAAACAAGGGCCAGTTTATTGTCCTTCAGACGTTAGTAGGGCCAGTGGGAGTAGATAATGCCTCAGGCTTGGTGATCCAGTGGGGGGTAATATGATTGCATAGCACCCCTGAAGTCAGTAGGAAGACTAATGCCCCATCATTGGTATTAGTGGAAAGAAGAGTGCCCCCATAGTTGGTTTCATTAGAAGGAATAGCCTCCCATCGCTGTTGTCCGTGGGAGGAATGGTCTTCCATTATTGATATAAGTGGAAAGGATAGTGCCCCATTGTTTGTGTCACAGGGAGGAATAGTGCTTCATCATTGGTGTCAGTGGAAGAAACAGTGCGCCATCATTGGTGTCGGTGGGAGAAATGATGCCCTATTTTTGTTATTAGTGGGAGGAATGATGCCCCATCATTGGTGTCAATGGGAGGAATGGTGAACTATTTGTGTCAATAGAAAGAATTATGCCCCCAATGTTGGTGTCATGGAATGAATAGTGCCCCATCCTTGTAAGTGGAAAGAATAGTGCCCCATTGTTTGTGTCAGTGGGAGGAATAGTGCAACATCATTGGTGTCAGAGTGAGGGTATACCTCATTTTTAGTGTCCTGAGGGCTGGATAATGGCAAGCAAAGGGCCACAGTTTGGAGACCACTGCTCTAGGGCCAACCTGCTCAGAAGAAAATTAATCTATCAGTTTGTCTAGAAGAAAGAAATGCAAACTTGGCAAGAATATACTGCTGTAAGTTAATATGAGTTATTGCTTGCTAAAACTTTAAAAGTGTTTTTCTGAATTCACTCTAACAAGAAGTACTTGTGGGGTAACACTGACTGAGAACTTCCACCCTTCAGATTACGGCAAATGAATCAGTAGCTGTACTACCTAATAAAAGGCAGATGTAAATAAAGCTCCTGCAGATGTGATACATGTTACTGGGAGACATTGAGACGAAAAAAATTTTCAATAACCTTGTACATAACGGACCTGTACTTTCCCATAATGTCTAGTACACTTCCTCATCATTAGATTCTTTGTTTTGTATATTGTGGCAAAGCACCAAACCACGGAGACACCCGGATAATACTGAAGACTACTTGCTCAGGACACAACAGATCTGCTCTGGGAAACAACTTAAAGTTCACATTGTTCTATGTACTATAATACCGTGTGCAGTATAAAAAAGTATGTTTTTGTCTTTCCAAAGAAATGAAAAGAAGCAATAAAAAAATAAACCTATGGGAGATTAACAGCAATATGTGAATTACAAAAAAAAAAAAAAAAAAAAAAAAAAAAAAAAAAAGAGTCAAACAATGGCAAGGTGTGAATGCAGTCAAAACAGAAAAATGCTTAAAAGGATGTTTACTTTTTGCACAAAAAATAATAAATGCACATTTTTTTTGCAGGTAAAAAAATGCGCATTTCTTATTTCTGTCTGCAGGAGACTGTAAAGCATTACACCAGTGATCAGTAAATCAATGCCATACAGGTCCCCTGCAGATCTGTCAGTATATCTGCTTGCCCGGACGAGATGTACAAGCAAGCAGATATACTGACAGGAAGATTCAATCAACTACCACAATGCTCCACAGCGCCGTGGTAGTTCATTGAGGACTACAAGCTGACAGCCACTAGGGCTAACAGGACTTGTAGTGCATTCATTCACGAAACGCTGTGAATGAATGGCGTGGCTGTGTGGGCGAAGCCTTGCACGTCTTCACTGTTTTCAAATCTGACAGTACGGGGGAACTTCTTCCGTACTTCTGTCAGAGGGAGGGGGAAGCAGCAGGCGACGGCTGGAGCATTGGGAACATGTTACATGTTCCCCAGTGTGGGTTGCTCTATTTGCTGGCACTTACATTGTGGCCCTTTGTGCTGGAAAATCTCTGTGCAGGCAGAGGCCGAGAGTTTAATCTTCACACACTGGTGACAGCACTGTGGTACATTTGTGGCAGCGGCTAGGATCTGACACCAGCTGATCCACTCGCTTGGAGTTTGTATGCCTATTGTGCCGCTGTAACTTAACTGATTTACGGTTGCTTAACAGGCAAGGCTCTGATATAACAGCTGCAGACCACTCACTCCACAATTTTCGCAGACTCTAACACTTTTGGTTCCAGCCATGTGTTTGCAAGGTGGATCAATCTGAGACTTAGCTGGATTTCCAGGGTGATATACCCATGTGAACAACTCCTTTGAGTTCAGGTTACTCCTTGGCATCCTGGGGCTGTAAGTCAACGTAGGCATTCTGAGGTTCCCGCGTTAAAAAGGGAGCTAGCACATCAGCCTACTGATTCTTGTGTCCAGCAACTCTTTCAAAGACGCTGAAGTAGGTTTTACCATTTTCCAGGAACAATTTTTGTAAAGTGCTCTGCACTAGCTGTCGAAATGTAGAATCAGCCCCTGCATCACCATCTCCTTTCTAACAGGGCTTGTATATGCTGTTGTAGAGACAGTTAGCTACTAGCTGCTGTCACTCATAGGAGGCTTGGTGGACTACAGTCAGCTGTTGCATCTACTGGGCAGTTCACCTCTTGTTGGGTATCATTTGCCACAACAAGCTGTTTAATAAGCTCCTTTATTCTGCTCAACAGCAGCTGCCTCTATAATACGCAGCCTGCATCCAAGCACCAAGTTGTAAGGAGGACTGTCTCAACAGGTACTGGCAACAGTAAACCATGCAGGAGACAAGGATACTCAGCAACAGTCAAATTAGGTTTGTGCTATGTTTTTATTCAGCACGACAGTAAACAATCATAATTTCAATGCTGTACAAGTCCATAGCATAAAACAAAACATTTGCTTCTCAATTACAGATCTCAGGTCAGTTTCTGACTAACAGGTTTCCCTCTAACGGGTTCCCTATAACAAACAGGCTGCTCTGTATTCTCTGAGTCTTCTGTTAGCAGTCAGCCTATCACACAGCTGCAAGCTAAACATCAGTAAGCATACAAATATAAAGGCATGTGGAAGCGAAAACTAATAATGAGGTCTTGCTACCAGGTGAGATGTGGACCCAAAGATGGAAGGTTTTCCCACTCAAAGCTCTTCAAAAGACCTTAAGATCAGGGACCCAGAACGGAAATTATTATGATTCTGAGAAAACAGTTTTTCTCCACATCCACCATAAACTCTGAAGCCCCACACCATATGTGTGTGAAAAACCTAGGTTAAACATACTCCCCATTACAATCCTGCCAGCCATTGACTCACAATAAGTACAGTTGAACCATATATCTCTAACTTTTTTCTTGGAGATTGCAATGTTCCTTTGGAATAAATAAAGAATTTGAAAAAAAAACGTAGGTGTAAGACCCGGTTCACTATATTGCCAGAAGTATTGGGACTCCCCTCCAAATCATTGGATTCAGGTGTTCCAATCACATCCATGGCCACAGGTGTATAAAATCAAGCACCTAGGCATGCAGACTGCTTCTACAAACATTTGTGAAAGAATGGGTCACTCTCAGGAGCTCAGTGATTACAAGCGTGGTACCGCGATAGGTTGCCACCTGTGCAATAAGTCCATTTGTGAAATTTCCTTGCTACTAAATATTCCTCGGTCACCTGTTAGTGATATTATAACAAAGGGGAAGCAACTGGGAACAACAACAACTCAACCACAAAGTGGTGAGCCATGTAAAATGACAGAGCGGGGTAAGCGCATGCTGAAGTGCACAGAAGTAGCCAACTAAAGAACTCCAAACTTCTTGTGGCCTTCAGATTAGCACAACAGAGTGTAAAGAGCTTCATGGAATGGGCTTCCATGGCCGAGCGGCTGCATCCAAGCCTTACATCACCAAGTGCAGTGCAAAGCATCGGATGCAGAGGTGTAAAGCACGCCGCCACTTGACTTTAGAGCAGTGGAGACGAGAGAGTGACGAATCACGCTTCTCTTTCTGGCAATCAGATGGACATGTCTGGGTTTGGCAGTTGCCAGGGGAACGGTACTTGCCTGACTGTATTGTGCCAGGGTAAAAAGGAAAGGTGGTGGTGTCTGTCTCTATGTGAGAAGTGATCTCAGAGCGAGTGTGAAGGAGGACCTAGTTGATGGAGAGTGTGATGAGGCTGAAGCATTATGGGTGGAACTGCACATGGGGTTGCATACTACAAAAGGTAATCATTGGAGTTTGTTATAGACCAACCAGGGATAATGAGGAGGTGGAGACTCAGCTCCTTGCACAGACTGAAAGGGATGCAAGGTCTGGGACAGTGACAATAATGGGGGATTTTAACTACCCGGAAATTGGAGTAATGGCACTGCAGGAACAGTTGAAGGGCAAACATTTATAAACCTACTACAACACAATTTTATGGTACAGTTCATAGAGGCCCCAACTAGGAATGATGCTCTACTAGACCTGGTGTTCTCAAACCATGCAGAGTTTACTACTAAAGTCCATATAAAAACATCTGGTTAGCAGTGACCATAATATGATTTCATTTATTGTTCGCTGTAAACAACAAGCACATACGTGAAAATTAAAAAAAATACTCAACTTTAAGAGAGCTATCTTTCCAAGGTTGAGAGCTGCTCTCCCAAGACTTAGACTGGGAGGGAATATTGGCATTGATGAACACAACACAGAAATGGGAGTTCTTCATAAAGACTGAATGTGAACACACTGCAAAATCTATTCCCAAAATGCTAAAAGACAAACCTATGTGGCTTACGGCCAAAGTTAAAAAAGCTATAAATAATAAGAAAAGAGCTTTTATTAAAAATAAAAATGAAGGAACGCTATCAACGTTTAAACATTACAAAAGAACATAACAGAATATGTAAAACCCATACTAAAGCACAGTAGCTCTTGGAAACTTGACAACCCTGATTGCAGGTGTATTTACCATACATTATTACGCTTTTAGCAACCGCAATAAATGGGCGTAAAGCAGATACTTAAATTTGTTCAAAAATGTTCAGCATTGGTGTTCTTTGATCCTGATTTTTATATGAACATAACAGCAGATGTAACAAATATAGATGCAAACACACTAGACTTTATAACAGTCCAGCGAGAAATTATGAGCTGAAAAAAGCAGACAAAGTACCATACAGAGAAATTTTAGTTTTAAAGAAACATTTTATGGATCAGTCAGATATACAGACCTTTTTAATTCTTCGACAAGGACATCGAAGTTTAACTTTCTGGATACACAGAAATGAACAACTTCCCTGATGACAAATCTCTTTGCACCGATGTCCACAAAGCAGCTGAAAAAAAAAAAAAAAAAAAAAAAAAAAAAAAGGTAAATAAGGTTCACCAATGAAAATCACATAGGCAATATGATTCAGTTCATTATAAAAATGAAGTGTTACCATGGGAAGCTTAATATTAAGATCTAAGTTCAAAATGAAGCATCACCTTCTCACCCTACCTGCTCTATACCAAAAAGTAAAAGCAAGAACCTCCCAAATGCTTACCAAGTTGGGTCCACTCCTGAGCAGATGAGCAAGGCTTTACTAATGTTTCTGGGATATAGCCATGGCCTTGAACTCTTCTGTGAGAAGCATAGGCACTAACTGTCTCACCTGAGTATACACAGATTGCCAACCAACATTTTAAGTACATTTGTGAAAGAATGGACAACTACATCAATGACAGTGTGCTCCCCTACGAGGACATTCCAGGGATCCATCCTGTCAATCTACTGATAATGGTCTATTCTGAACTCAGCTGTTGGATACTGATGACCAATAACCAGCTATTAGGGCTGCCTGTCAACTGAATAATTAAGAAAGAAGCAGATTTCTAAGGCCAAGCATGTGCATGTTGGAAACTCATTTAGATAGTAGTCAGAGATAGTTGTTCTAACCACTATCTAAAATTACGGTTACATTTTTATTAATTTTTTTTTTTTATATATTTTACAACAAATAATGTGTATTGAGTTGTATTGAGGGATAAAAAAAAAGAAAATAGTTGGCTGGCAAGGACACGAGGGGTGGAAACCATGAAAGTCACAATAACTCATCCAACTCAAAGCAGATGTTGGAAAACCACTTTAAAAACATTAGTAACATTTTAAAAATATAATATTTATAGCACAGTACTTTGGGCTATAAATAAAGCTTCTAAATTTGTAATTTGCATTTGTTAAATAAGCTTTCAGGAATAAAGTAGTTCGTTGGCCAGATGCCTGTCCAGCCATACTGCCAGTCTGGGCATGAGTTCACTGCTCAGAAAGCTGAATGAAACATATCTCATTAATTAACAAACAATTATTGGGAAAATGCCGGTGTGAGTTAGCCCTCTAGCTATGTACTTGGTATTGCCTCAAATTAACATGTAATTGTTTGAAATCCAACAATCACCAGGCATCTCTATTGGGTAACTTCCAACAAATCAAAAGGGTCTGGACACGTAGACAGCATACAGAACCATGTGCTTCTTGCATAGATACAGCATGCTTTACTTCGCAGGCATCATAAGGCATCATATAGTTAATGGTCCTGTGTGATTATGTCAGGCTGTTAATTTACAGACTGCACAATAAATGAAACCATCATCAGTATGAGACTACAACATTAACATTTGAAAGGCTTACTGTAGCTTTCTCAAATGTTAAACTTCAGTAGAATTTAGATTTAAATGAATCATATGTTCTATATTAGCAGCTTACTGTGAAATTGATAGAGAAACCATATTTTCATAAGGTGCCAAAACAGATGGAAATGTAGTCCACAAGCGATTACATTAATACAATCTCCTATCTACGGTTCAGTAAGCTTCCTTCCACAGGAAATCTGCCTGCTACCATCAAATTACAACATGTGAAAAGTCAAAGAAAAGATGCTGAGCTCTGTAAATGTTTGCAGACCTTCTAGTCAGCAGCTACAGCTACAGACAGACACATACTAGGAAGTCATGCAATATGAAACTTGGGTCAAGAAACACTTCCACAAAGCCCCAAAGGGCAGAAAAACACCTTCAGGCAGCCAAGAAAAACAGTTCATGTCTGGCTATCAGCAACATAGTCAATCCCAGAGTTGTACTGCTGAAACCCACCAAATTACCAGCAACGTGCTATTTTATTCATGCCAGTGGAAGCAGACTGATTGCAAGTGACTGATCTGTCTTCAAATCCCACTAATTTCCTAATGACAATATAATTCCTTACAGGGGATTTGGGGTTGAACATTTTCTCAGGCTTCCACAGTTGGTTCCTAACTGGAAGTTTACTCATAGGAACATACTCCCTTTAACATTTATTCAAGCTGTTATTACCCTTCAGTAATGATCTTAGCAGAATTGGCTATAAAGATATTTTATATCTGAATAACAAATGTTTTCTAACTTCTAACAATTTATTTGTAAAATTCTGTATTTACATCCAGCTAAAGTAAAAAAAAATAATAATTTTGTATGTATTTGTCTGAATGGATAGAACTCTTTAATAATGAATAAATCATTGAAGCATAGGTTCCCAAACCAAATGTAGCAGTGTCTGTATGTATCAAAAACTAGACTACACATTTATGACTAATTTGCCTACCTAGTTCATTTTTACATGGCTTAAAAAGGACATACAAGGCTTTTATTTGATACATTGTTTTAGACTAGGCCCACAACTGTGTGGGTGGTACCACTGCAGGACGCGCATATTCCGACAGCTGCAACCACCCACACTATGAAATGCGGGACCCGCGGGGAGGTGCAATTAATCTTAATAGCACTGTCCACACTCGAAATCGCACCCGCACTGGGAACCTTGGTTCCTGTGTAGGCTGTGATTCCCTAGGTAGTGCAGAGACTACTTTTCTGTGTGTCATGGGGCACAGCAGGACATTCAAATGAATGGGCTGTTGTGCCTGCACAAACCACAGCCCGGATGGCCGCATAGATGTGAACCTAGCCTTAAAGAATACCCTACTTATGGTTTTTTTTTATTGCACACTGAAAAACATACACAAAATGTGAGAAAAACATTTATTTTTTTTTTTAAATATGATGAATCATTGTTACTACTTTTGTAATACAGTAATTGTATCTGTTAATTACAGCATTAAATAGATGCATACTGTCATCCTAGGGCAGCAATGGTTTATTTTCTGAATGAACATATACCCTGCATGTGATCACCACAAGATCGCCTGTTATGTTGATCACGATTGGTTAATCTTGTGATTGTTTCCCAAATGCTAGGAGAGACCCACAGCTGTTCTTTCAAAGTGGGACATCTGAACGCACATGTAATAGTAATTCATTTCTTACGGCCTGGGGATATCTTATGCATCGATTCCTCATACTGGCAACTCCCCATTCCTGTGTCGCTGGGTTCTAAAACAAACCTGTCATATACAAGATGGGCGTGATCAATCAGTGACGTCACCGCATACGCCGTTACCACGTGGCAAGACCATGTGACTGCAACTACGTGATCTGTTGCTGAGAGCGGCTGGTGAGACGCCACTGTGAGAGCTGGAGATTGTTTGCAGCTATATATTATTGAATGCTGGTTTTTACCTTATACATTGTGAGTTTGTTTTTAAGGGGGGTATTTTTGATACAATAAATAGTCAAACGATATTATGCTATGGCGAGTGTTCTTTATTTACCTACATATGGAATTGGATGATACTTACCTTGATGGAGTCTATATGAATCAGCCATCTGCTGAATGAATATTTTCTGGATCGATCGGTATTTTCATGAATCTTCCTCATCTGCTGATATTTGATTGAAATGCTGATTAAAACATCAGCATCTGGTGAGTTAGCACTTTGATGGGGTGTTGACCACAAAGCAATTCACGGTTGTGGCGAATATATATTTTTTGAAGAAAGTTATATATGCAAAGCGCTGAGCAAACTGTTGGCGCTATATAAATCCTATATATAATAATAATATATGGACTACACTTTATTATGGACTTATTATTTTTGATGTTTCACAATTTTGGCACATATTAACCACTTCAAGTCAGGACACTTTTACCCCCTTCCTGTCCAGGCCAATTTTCAGCTTTCAGTGCTATCACACTTTGAATGACAATTGCGCGGTCATGCAACACTGTACTCATATGAATTTTTTTAGCATTTTTTTTTTGAGACAGATAAGCTTTAATTTGGTGGTATTTATTCACCACTGGGATTTTTTTTTTTTGCTCTGTAAATGAAAAAGTCCAAAAATTTTGAAAAAAGTGTTTATCTTATAAAATTTTGCAAATAAATAATATTTCATCATAAATCTTGGCCAAAATTATTCTGTTATCTTTTTAGTAAAAAAAAAATAACCCAAATTAATTTATAACCAAAAATTATAATTATTAAACATTTTTTTTTACATTTTTATATTATTTATTTATGGGTTGTTTTTAACATACTGTCACCCTAGCAGTACAGTGTCACCATGGTGACACTGTACTACTACTTGGGGGGTGATGAAGATTTTTTTTTTTTTTTTTTTTTTAACACTGATTGCTTTTACACCCATAAAGACTTTAAAAGCAATCATTTCTCCTTATTTATTTCAAGTACTTATATAGCGCCGTCAATTTACACAGCGCTGTACATATATATTGTACATTCACACAGTCCCTAACCCTCAAGGGGCGTACAATCTAAGGTCCCTAACTCACATTCATATACTAGGGCCAATTTAGACAGGATCCAATTAACCTACCAGCATGTCTTTGGAGTGTGGCAGGACACTGGAGTACCCGGAGGAAACCCATGCAGGCACAGGGAGAACATGCAAACTCCAGGCAGGAGGTGCCGTGGCTGGGATTCGAACTAACAACCCTAGTATTGCCAGGCGGAAGTGCTAACCATTTAGCTACTGTGCTGCCCATTCTTGCAGCCATTGAGCACTACTGTCTGAGCTGTGATTGGTCACAGCTTGTCATATGGTACAAGGCTGTTGTGAATAGCCTTGCACCATGTGACCTCTGTGATCATTCACAGATTTCACACGTAGTAAGCAATGATGTTAGAAGTGACATCTTGCTTACCACTCTGCATGTGATCACTAATTGGCCAATCAGTGATCACATGATCGGGACCTCGCACAGATGTCACGTACGATGGTGTTCCACTGTGTCCGGAGCTCCCAGGGAGCGCGCACAAGCAGGGGCAGGGAGGCAGTTTATAAATGGCCACCCGCCCCTGCACTGCCACCGTCTGGCCGTTTATATACAGCGGCCGGACAGGAGGTGGTTAATTAATTTTTTTTTTGGTGGCAGTTTCTATTTTATTTATATATTGATGTATGTATTTATTTTATTTATATATAATTTAAGAGCATATATAGTTTTGAGAGCGCTGTTTCAGGTATTTCCATTTATTCATATACAAGATGGCTTTAAACATTGAGGCTCTTTTTTTGCAGCTCATTGTTTTCAATGTGCATGCATGGTGAGAATGGGATGACGTCATATGACGTCCTCCCAGAACGAGAGAACTGCCTTGCATACGTCATTGGACTATATGGTGGGTGGGAGGTGGTTAATGAATGAAATGGAAAGCCCACTTTTTAATGCCCACTCAAGACACTGATCAGAATAACGTTACGGAGGAGTAGACCACGCTCCATACAGAACTGGTTCAAGTAGGGAGTCTAATGGAAAGGTCTGACAGTCTTAGGACCTTAAGAAATACACTGGACTGGAGTGTACCACATGCAGAGCCCAGTGCCTGAAGAGTCTTCAGACTGGGCAACACAAGAGTCTGTGCCATGGATTTGGACCTGTAAAGATCTATACCGCTAGCACAGTACATGAATGTCAGGTAAACGCTATAAGCAGGGCCAAGGGTCACATTGTAGGCAGGTCCACATCTTTGGTTCAGCAGAGTCTGGATATGGCTCCAACAGGCAGCACTGAGGATTAGCTGAACCGGACAGCTAGCTAAAGAGTGCAGTTCAGCAGTGTAGCAATTGAAGAAAAAATAAAAGGGAGAATGTCTAGTAAAAATTGTTAACTTTTCTGAGTAGAGAAATTACATCCATCCTCCTAGGAAAGCATGATGGAAGCGGGAGGGGTTATACCTGACTGGCTAAGTGTTTTTTTTGTGCATGCCAGAGTCCAGTTTCTTTGGTAGGCAGCAGTAAAACCCAGTTGTCTCTGGATTACTTCTAATCCTATGTCATTTAACAAATCATGAAGGGCAATGTTTTACCTAACAAAAAAAAAATCAGCAGCAGCTATTTAAACTCAAGTTTAGATTCTCTGTGCTGACATAGTTAAAAACATTAAAACAATTTTGTGTAATTCTCGGAAAGACTCTCTCTGACAGCCTGTATTGTCTTTCACCAAACTTTAAAATGTTATCTGAATATACAGATTCAAATATGTCAGCTGCAAAAGAAGCAGAGATAATGGCTGTATAATTGGCTGACAGTGTTCTTAATCCTTTTCAATGTATTAGCATGAGGTCTGCCTTATACTAATCCGATGGCACATCTTTTATTTTAAATTGATTCCCTGAAAACAGCTAAAGCAAAGCAGGAAGGCCAGTTATCATGGTTTAAATAAACTGAAATATTGAAAAAAAAAAAAAAAACCCATACACAAAATACATACTTTTTATCAAAAACTACATACACCTGCTAAGGGGTTTTTCAATATGCCAACAAGCAAGGGGTTGCATTTGCAAAACTGCAATGTATGGGACACTTTATAAACACTACCCATGTTTTCGATCATGCTTATAGGCTTTTAGAATGCAACAGAAGAAACATGCTAGTGTTTCTGACAGCTGATCTGAGATTAGTCTTTGCTCACAGCACTGAGGAGTAAAAGAGTGTTAACATCCAATCAGGTTCTTGCAGACATTTTTCATTATGTAAAAAAAAAAAAAAAAAAAAAAAAAAAAAAAAAAAAGACTATTAGACTGGTTGTCATAAGGAATGCGGTCTTTCCTTTGAATGTTATAAATTATATTTAATAAAAACTTGAGACAAATTATCAAGAACATAACCAAATAAATTCTGAAGCTGTAGACTGCCAAAAAAAGAATAGAGAAAGGTGGCTAGATATTTGGAAAGATACAGATGATAACAATTACATTTTTAATGTACTGAACTGTTTGGACTCAATCACAGGATAACCTAGTACCTCACAGAAGAAGCAGATTGGTTACTCATTTATTATGGGTAAAATGCTCAGGATGTGCAGGTGTTCCCGTTAAGTTTGATCCAGGGACCTCATGCCCTTAGACTCAATAGCACTATATGACAAAAAAACTTTTTAATTTGAGCTCTTGCAAGTTAATATCGACAGCTTTGGTAATGCTGTCTATTGACTTTAGCCTCCATCTTCTTTTAATCTTTCCTAGTTAGCCCTCTTCAATGAGTTCTGATTTTACAGGAGAAATTAATGAGTATCAGAAGAGTGCAGACAAAGAACATTATATATGCAGCAAAATCTCTCACTCTGCAGGACATGATCTGCTCTCTCATGGGAAAGGACAAGCGAAGAGATATTCTAAAATCAACTGAGAAGTTCAAATTCAGCTATGTGGCCTGAAGAAAGAGTAAGAGCCAGCTTTTAGGACAAGTTCACCTAAGCCAAAGTCAAGTCTAACAGCCTGCATTCTAATTCTAGTGCCCAGCCTTGGCATGAAACCCTTTTAGTACTTCTAGTGTGGACCTTTGGGCTTATGCAGCCATTGGTCTGTATTTTGGTGCTTTCTCAAGCCAGTGAATGAGAATAATTTTTTAGACTGGCTTCTAGTAGTTAAATGTGTTGATTTCTTTTTTTTATGATATCCTTTTTCTTTACGGTCTATGCTTTTTACCTTTTTTGTTTGTCTCCTCTGATCTTTTACTGTGGATCCTGCTGAGAGAAATATTAAATGTGGCACAAGTAATTTTTTGAGGGGGTGTTGGGAGAATAAGGAAAGATTTGTAAAGTGGCTGCTGTAAAATCAGTTATTCCTAGTGGCCTCAGGTAGTACGTCTCCTGAAGGGTGTCTTCAGTCTCCAATAGCTCCTAAGGCATATGACTACAACAAACCAAACAAAACCTCCCACGCATGAGTGAGATTGTCAAACACCAATTCTTCACACGTGTCAGCTTCTTAGCGGAGGATGAAGATACACCACGCTTTTTGTTGCCCTCTCAGGACTGGGGATGCCCCAAAAGTATAATTTAAAAAACCACAAAGAAAGAGCACACCAGCCTAGCACATTATCCCAATGAAACATTTATTAATACTTCAACATAATTGTAATCAAACACTGTAACATCAAAGCCCATCAGTATCCAAGTCGCTCGATCCACTGCGCCTTAGCTTGGAGGGACACCATATGGATCCTATCTGGCTTACACATTTCGAGGGTAGTACCCCTTTATCAGAGTTTTTAGGGGGAACTACCCTCGAAACGCGTAGCCCAGCTAGGATCCAGATAGCGACCTTCCCAGCTGAGGAGCACATGCAATGGATCAAGTGACTTTGATACTGATGCTTACTCTCATGGCTTTGATATCACAGTGTTTGTGAGTACAGTTGTGTTGGAGTATTAATAAATGTGTTGAGATAATGTACTAGGCTGGTGCGCCCTCTATTCTTTGTTTTTTTTTATAGCTACTAAAGCATGTTTGACCATCTCTTGCAGCACACTCAGTCTTTGACCATTCTCCTATTGCATATGAAGTCTCTGAAAGCTTTCTGTAGTGTTATATTCAATGAATATTATGTGCAGTCTTTTGATAATGTTGGGAGCCGCACGGGTGATATGAATCCATACCCATTTGAGGTCTCCTATTTAGGTTAACTACCAGCTTAAGATATAAAATGTGAGACCACATTTGATAGTTAAGTGTTCTTGCATGGCAAGACCACTTACTGTTATCTCACATATATATTCTTATTATTATAGCCAAATTTACCATCCTAACTCCTCCCACAGTTTTACACTACATAGACAGTAATATACCAAAACGTGCAGATTGTTCCCGATTGGTGTGCTATTACTTTGTCGAACGTTTCACCGAATGGTTCACGAAATATCGGCATTTTTGTGGTGAAATTGGTCCCATAGGAATGAATGGCGGAATGTTCAAAACTAGAGTGGGAGCTGACAAAAGCTAGAGTGTGAGCTGAAAAATCAGGACATGATTTCTAAACTGCCATCACTCCCTCATTTTCAAGCCACCTACACAAATCGTATATCAAAACTTTCAGCTATCCCTGCTGCCACTAAAAATGTCCACGGCTAAGCCATAGTCCTGATAGTTTTCACAATATGACCATTTGTTTGCTCCGCCCACTCCAGTTGTACACTACTAGTGGAGGCAAGAACACTTCACACAATTTCCCCAGAAATTGTAGCTTTTCTAGTTTATGTTTGTTCTTAAAAACAAAAATATATTCTAACAGACATTGCTTCAATCGTAAGTAGCAGATAGGTACACTTTAAAAGAGGTATAAGAAAAATGCAATGTAATGGTAAGAAACAGGCAACTGGAAAATGACCAAAAGGGAACAAATAACAAAAACATTCTTACTACTCATAGGTTATAGGATTCTGTTGCTTGTGGGATGAATGTGTCTAGGTTTACAGGCTCCTTTACAATTAATCAGAAAGTTAAACATGGCAAGTCTTCATGACTCCAATGCCATTCTTACCTCTTTTGGACACTGATTTTTGCATGAAGTCAGGATATTCTTTTCCTTTTCATCAGCCAAAGTAAGTTTTCTAAAACAAGACAAACATCTTAAATGACTGTTTAAATGAGGAGCTGCCAATCATAATAATATTCAGTAGTTAAGGCAGCTATGGAAATTCCTCTGATCAAATCACCCTCACATGAATGAAGTTCATGCTGATAGAATTTTCCTGAGAGGCTCAGTTCCTGGGATCCAGGAAATGATTAGGTATCAAACGGGTGATATGAATCCATACTCTCAAATGCCACATGATTAACGTTTGTTGAGGGGAAGGTTTTCTCTCTCTTCTGTAGAAATAATAGTTTGTGACTTCCATCACAAAAAAAAAAAAAAAAAAAAAAAAAAAAAAACAGCTAAACAGCTACACTGAATCTTTGCGAATTTAAAACCCCTGTCAAGTATTTACTATAAATGTGATCTACAGTGGATATAAAAAGTTTACACACCCCTGTTAAAATGTCAGGTTTCTGTGATGTAAAAAAATTAGACATAGCTAAATAATTTCAGAACTTTTTCCACCTTTAATGTAACCTATAAACTGCACAACTGAGTTGAACTACAAAAAGAAAAAATCTTTTAGGCGGAAAGAAGTAAAAATAAAAAAACCTAAATTAATAACATGGTTGCATAAGTGTGCACACCCTTAAAACTATTACTTTGTTGAAGCACCTTTTGATTTTATTACAGCACTCAGTCTTTTTGAGTATAAGTCTATCAGCATGGCACATCATGGATTTGGCAATATTTGCCCACTCTTCCTTGCAAAAACACTACAAATCTGTCAGATTGCGAGGGCATCTCCTGTGCACAGCCCACATAAAATATATATTAAAAGTCATATATTTAATTTTCACACATTAAATAGCTAATTAGTAAGACGATGTGCAACTCAAAAGTTTCTATGAGTTTCTAAAACATGTACATCACTATTGCTCTAAACATTGTCCCATTAAAAATCTTGTCTCAAATGTCTTGTACCGTACATGCACCTCATGTAAATGTGTGAAAGCTGAGTTTCTACGTACATGCACTCGATGTAAAGATTGCTAATCTTGCAGTGGCATTTGGTCCTGATCATCTGAACACATGGAGGGCAATCTTTAAGGTGACATGGGAGATTGCAACGATGAGGACAGCCTGGTGGTCGGGGTTTTGAGCATTCCTCTTCACACACAAAACATTCTGGACCAGACTAGATTTCAAATTAAAAGTATTATTATTTAGAGTATAGGCGATTGTTAAAACACCACAATACTTTTTTCCCCTTTTACTTTTTAAAAAAATAAGTGATCACATTCTCTCTGTTCTCAGCTGTAGAACAAGCTTTGAGATCTAGGGGAGGAGAAACAGCAGAACATTGATCTTCCCAGTGCATGGCTGGGGGGGAGTCTCGGCACAAGTTCATGCTCAGTTTTCCACACAACCAGAAAACTGACCATGCAGTGCTCTCATGCCTAGTGTGGTCAATTTGTAATAGGAAAGTAAAAGGGACTAGCAAGAATACCAGGTATTTCACACAAAGGAAGCAATACAAAGAACAGGATAATTTTTCATACAAGTACATGGTACAGCAGGCATATGGGAGAGGGGGCGGGGAAGCTGCTTGCAAGTGTTTTTTTTTTTTTACCTTAAAGCATACAATGCATTGAGGTAAAAACATTCAGTCATTAGAACCACTTTAAAAATGAATAGTGGAATAATAGGAATACTTTAAAAAAAAAAAAAAAAAAAAAAAAAACAAATTATCTAATTTGACATGGCTAATTTCATAATTTCAATAATAGAATGAATGAGTTGGGATTACTTGGGATTTAAAGACATTTTTGTCAAGGGGGAACAAAACCCACAACTGCTGCAGAAATAAAATGCACTTAGGGAAGCCTGTACATCTATTTAATAGCCTCCCAAACTCTTGTCACATGAACAGTGACTTAATTATTTTTCATTTTAAAAATACGTCAAATGGAGGGGCCATGAAACGTCATCACGCCCGGAAGTGGGAGTTCGGCCATTTTAGACACTACTTTAGGGATAGGCATCCCTAAGGGGGCAATAAACTATTGGAATTGAAATTTAAACAAGCAATCTATCTGGTGCACTGGATGTTACAAGTGCACCATTCTTATGAATGTTTTTAATCTTTTAATAAATTGTATCAAGTTACTCCGATACTGTACCATGAGATCTTTTTTTTTTTTTTTAATTGATTTGGCTCAGAATCTTAAAAAAAAAAACAAAAAAAAAAAAAAAAAAAAGGAAGAAAGGGATCTTACCTTCTCTTTGTTACCATTATCCTCAGTGACTTTATGACATTCTTTTATGCAAGTGTGGTTGCCACAAGCAAGAAACCGCCCACAGGGCCTCTTACATGAAAATGGACCAGCAGAATGACATGGCAATGGGCTTATCTGAAAGAAGAATACAGCACAATTGGACTAAATAGTTTACCTGTCTAACACTGAATATTTTATGCAAATATTTGCACTTTATACAAATTAAAATCTGAATGAATAATCACATTTTGATCTACCAATATACTATGCAGTAAAACATCTTCTATGGATGGATTTTACAAGGCTTTGGTAAATTTTAAAGGAGAATTACCAAAAACTGTACAGTCACAACTGAAGCACGTATGGTGAATTTAGAGTAATCATCCTACGTGGGGGATAAGTGGTTGGGCCTGACAGCACAGAGTCCTGGGTTTGAGTTCCTACCCAACGTAATCTGTGTGCTCCTGCTATTTTTCTGTTGATTTCCACCAGGTGCTCTGATTTCCTGTACATATCTAAAAACCTAGAGATACATTAATTGGAATCTTTCCAAACTGGTCTTAATGTGCATGTGTTTGGTATGCAATAGAACGTGCGACTGATGTAAGTGGCTCTATTTACTTTGTAGCAGAGGTAAAATGTCAGCACAATATAAAAAATGGAAATAAACTCAAGGTGCCTGATAAACCTGAAATCTGCAAACAAACAAGCATACTGTTGCCTGAATAGTAATTGGAAACTCGGGTCTCCAGCACAGCCTGCAAACACTACAGTGTATTTTCTGCTTTCCAGCAGACTACAGGGTAATCATTGGTTCATCTCTGGCATATAAAGGCAAACAAAGGCTTATCACAAAAAAGCATCATTTTCTAAAGATTGTTTTTTTTTTCTGGTAATTCCAGCAGCAAAAACTTTCCTTGTGATAGTTCCTACCTCTCTTCCCACCAAAGTATCCCTTTGGATACTATCCCTTATAAGAGGAGAGCTAATCGATGTTAATCCAGTGTTTTTCTACAAAATATAACTATGTTCAAAATCCAACAAGATTGATGGTACCCCTCCTAAATGTTGAGTAACTTCATTTGTTCAGCAACTACTAAAAACTGAAATATTAATTTTAGGTTGACTGAATCTACACTGATGGTAGTTCATGGACAAGACCAATAAACAACACAATAAACATACAAATAAAAGATATTATGTTAGTTTCATAGATGGCATCAACAATGATGACGACAACAACATGTTATAGAGCAGGGGTCTCCAAACTTTTCAAAGGGCCAGTTTACTGTTTTTCAGACTTGGGGGGAGGAGGGGCGGATTGTTCCTAGTGCGGGTGAAAAATGTCCCAGGCCCAGCATCAGTGAAAATAAACATAGCTTCAGGCTTAGTGGTAGGTAGGTGTAATGCCCTATCATTGGTATAAGTGGGAGAATTAGTGCCCCATTGTTGGTGTAAGTTGGAAGAATAGTGCCCCATCATTGATATTAGTGGGAGGAATAATGCACTATCATTAATGTCAGTGGCAGGAATTATGTCCCACTGTTGGTGGCAGTGGGAGGAAAAATGCCTCATATCATTGGAAGGATTAGTATCCAGGGCGGAATAGAGGCTAGCAAAGGGTTACATCTGGCCCTCGGGCCTCAGTTTGGAGACCACTGCTATAGAAGAACACCAGAGGCTTTAAAAAACAACAACATATATTTGATAGTGATTGATAACATTTTATTTGAGTTAGAAGTTAATCTTACATGATCATTGCCCAATTCATCTGGTTATGGTTGGTCTGGAATCTATTGCATGTATAAGTACATGCTGCAGCTTCCAATACACCCAGTGGCTAAATGTTCACTGGGAATGAATAAGTCAGTGGGGCTGAATTTTAGCAGCTGATTGACATAGCTGTCTGACCCAGGTAAACTAGACATTCCTTCCCAAGACTGACATAAACATGCAGCTTCAACTAAATCAAGTTTTATGATTATGAACAGTCCTTTCATTAGAAAGATCTTTCAGAGACAGATTATGCTTGTGTATCTGACCACCATCTGGTTGGTAGCTTTATAACCTTACCTCATGTTTGCCGAGACATTCCCTGGGAAAGAAAGAGGGGAAAATAATGTTGAAAGAACAGGAAAAGGTATGCAATAAAAATATAAGAACTAAGGCAGGTTTCACAGATAACTATTGTGATAAGCAATACAGTGAAAATGCACAAGTCAGATTTGATTTCCCAAGAAAGCCACATATTTTCTACATTTAAAATATTTGCGCATCAAAGTGAAGTGATTTTACAGCTAAAAACGGATATCCCTGTGTTGCCACCCACAGTAACCGGATTTTTGTTCTGAAATGCAAAAAAAGCTAATTGCCATGAGTTATGCATAATATTGCTTCTCAGTTTTTCTTGCCCATCTTATTATCAAAACTCATTATTGTGGATTTGTACTTTACTATATTAAGGCCTTACTTGCTGGCATAGTTAATGTGGCAAATGTAGTTGTTAGAGGAAGCACTGTACAGCAGAAAGTATCTGCACATTTCACTACTATCACAAATCCCCCTCAAAAATGTATTTTGTAGTCTTTGTACTGAATAATTCATTTCATTGAAGGACACACGTTACTCAGAGACAATTAGTTATGTTGCAGCCTACAGGTGGATTTGGACACTGGTTATCAAAAAATAGTGACCAGTTTGGTACAACACCTCCAAGACCTAGCATACCTTAGTTTTGTAGAAAAGCAATACTAGGAGCAAGATAACATATACAATGAACTCCAAGAAATGTTTTTTACGGCAAGTACAAAACTAGGATGATATTTGACTTCCCTGTAAAATCTTTTTCTTGGGGTACATCACAGGACACAGATAGATGGTTAATTATTGGATCATTTGATTATGCTCCACTATGCATAAGTGATTGCACACTGGTAAATAACAAAAAAACTTAATTCAGCTCTGCATAACCCTTCTACCTCCCAGCATTGCCTCACTTTGGTTAGCAAGCAGTATCAGAGTGAAACAAAAAAAAAAATAAAAGCAAGGGACCTGTGTCCTGTGGTGTACCAAAAACAAACAACAAAAAAAAGTATTTTACAGGTACTCCAAGATATGGAATTTACAGGCAAATTATTTTATCTAAGTCGTACAGTACAAAATGCAGGCTGGATGTTCACCGACCCTGTGACGTCCCAAAGCTATGAATAAGATGGGTGGGCAACAACAAGGCTAAAAGAACAATGCCAACAGATGCAACAAACCAGACAGGGGTCATTGACCCAACTCAGAGAGCCACTGGAAGAATCCTACAGCCATAAGCCACTTTTGCAGTGGCCTGGATATCAACCTGGTAGAACTTGGAGAAGGTATGAACTGAAAACCAGGTGGCAGCCTTACAAAGCTGAGCAAACGAAGCTTGATGTCAGAATGCCCAGGAGACCTTCACCGATCTGCAGAAGTGAGCACATAAGTGTACTGAGAGGTACCTGATATTTTAGAGCATCAGTTCTTGCAATGAGTTGTCTTATCTATCTAGAAACAGTGGAGTTGGGTGTCCCTTTTTGAGACCCTGTTGGCAAGGCAAACAAGTGTCAGCTTTCCGGATAGAGGCTATGGCTTTCTGATAAACTCTGATAGCTCCGACTATGTCCAAATGATGGAGATACATTTTTACCCTTGGGATTTTTAGAAGCAGGACACAAGGAGGAAGGACAATTTTTTTAGTTAAGCTGGAAGGCTGACAGCACCTTATAAACCACCACCTGATAGAAAGGAGATGTAAAACCACTTTATCCTTGTGAAGAATTAGCAAGGATTCCTTACAAGAGACAGTGGCTAATTCTGAAACACTCTGATATAACCAACTGTGATCAAATCAGTAGGCCTACTGAGGAAGCCCTGAGAGGGGGTGCAACGCATCTAGGAAGGAGGAGCTGGTACTGTGTTACCACGCCACCATTATCTTGCCAGCGAGTGGCGAGCTGGATATGGACACACATTTTATGCCTTTTATTTATATATCTGTAAGTGTCATTTTAGTGGGGGATACAATAAAGTGTTATACAGAGATTCCTATGTTTCAGTCTGTTGCATGAGATCAATTTTTGCCTGATGTCAGAGTAAGTGGAAGGTGAGAGGAGAGATAAGAAGATATGTCACTGTGACTAAAAAGTTGAGTACACCCAAATGAGTGCATATTTTCTTTTCTTGAGGTGAGCAAGTTTTTCACCCGGTGTGGCGGAGGATCACTGAATATTACTAAAGAAGACGATATCCACGGAAGTGATACACATCACTGAGGGGAATGTTTATGGACTCTTTAGTTTATCACTTGTATATGTTTTTCACAGGAGTATGTATGTTTTCTAACCATTATTAATTTAGAGAGTTGAGCTGCACTAGTAATTTGTGAATAACTCTGAAACCTGTCTAACTGATGTGATAGTCACCAAGAAGTCCACATTGCAAGAGAGATTACCCATGGGGAGTTTTCTATTGGTTACAAATGGTGGTTTCTGCAGGGCAGAGAGCACCACACTGAGGTACAATGGCAGCTGCTGTAATGGGATCTGATCCATTAGACGCCTTAAATAAAAGGTTTTACAAATGAAAGTGAAGCCAAACATTTTTGGAATAGGATGGACAAGGACAAAACCTATCCCTTAAAAGTCCTTAGAGACAAGTTTCAGTCAAGTTTCCACTGAAAGAAAGTCAGAATTTGAGGTACTGGGGAATCTCTGGGGTTGAAATGCTTGTGTTCACATCAGGCAAAAAAAAATTTTCCAAATTACAGTAGTAGATTTTTCTTGAAGAACATGTCTGGCTTTGGGTAACGTGGGAACGATATATAGCACTGTCCTTAAAGACATGGTTTTCAACAGCCATGCCATTAAAACCAGTGCGAAGGAGGATAAAACAGTGAGCCCCGAAACAAGAAAATCTGAACTGTTTGGAAATGGCCAGGGTGTAGCTCTCAGAAGTTTGAGTATGTCTGTGTATTAGAGTGTTCTGGGCTAGTTTGGTGCAAGGAGAATCACAAATTTCTTCTCTTCCTCAATTTTGCACAGTAGTCAAAGAAAAAAAACCACAATAGAGGGAAAGCATACAGTATATTAACCTGAATGAAGTTCACAGAATTAACAGAGAATACGATGTCAGGGCTAGAGGATCCTTGCTTCTGGTCACAAACAGAGGTAAGTTGTAGTTGAACCTGGAGGCCAGGATGTCCACATCTAAACTCCCCATTCCTGACACAGGAGATTGAAAACGTCAGGATGAAGAGGCTATTCCTGTTTGGTCCAGGCAGTGACAAATGAGGAAATTCGCCTTTCAACTGTTCACTCTAGGGACGTACAAAATTAGATTGCTGGACTGGTTTCTGGTACCCCCCTGGTGATTGTAGGCCACTGCCATGGCACTGACTCCACCCTAATTGGGTGTCCCAGAAGAACAGAGGTCTAGTGGTGCAGAACAAATTTTATTGCTCTGAGCTCCAAGATGCTGATGGGGAGCATGCTTCTTTGGGTGACCAGTCAAAAAATGGAGTGTGTTAGTTTCAATAGAGTGTTGTGTTGGACAGGCCTTGAGTGGAACTTAGCAAAGAAAACAGCCAGAGGGATGTGTTTTTTTTTTTTTATTATTTTAAAATCATTCTAAACATTTTTTTACCACAATGCTTTCCCTGCATGAAGGTAAAAAAACAAACAAAAAAAAAAAAAAAAAAAAAAAAAAAAACACCTCACTAAGTCCACCCCTGCCAACCCTAAACACGTATCTGACACCTTTCACCACTCCAACACCATCCCATCTGCAGCACCGTGCCTTCTAAAAAGGATACACTGTGGGTAGCGGGAGCCCCATAGGCTTCTGCTGCTGTCAATCAACCTCCTGTGTCGAGCACCCTTAGCACCCACTGTAATGATGGGCACTCAGAGAAGGAATAGGCGTGTGTGGGATCACCAAAGAAGAGGTAAGTGACTGATTTGTGCAATATTGTTGCACAGAGCAGGTAACTAAAATATCTTTTTTAAGAACAACAACAAAATTGGCCATAAATATCACTTTAAAGTTCAAGCATGAGACCGAAGTATTCCAGAAAAGGGAAAGACTGGAGGGCATACTTTAGAAAGGCAATTACCCAACCAAAAGGGTATCCACCTGTTCCAGAACATTAATCATTCCAGTTTATGGTGAATTTGGTCTCCAGATCTACGTTGGGTGATCGTGATTGAAACATTTGTGTGTGGAGAGACCACTTTCCGTGATCAAGAGGTTTACACCTTAGAAAGATCACTTGCCAATTTCCCATGCCTGGAAATGTTCACTGCAAACAAGGTCAGATCCTGATGTTGTTTCCAGGACAGAATAAGTTCTGCTTTGAGAGTGACTTGACTCTTTGTATTGCATTAATAATTGATGTATGCCACCTCTGTGGTATTGTTACACTAGCAGAACCTGAAGTGGGGGGGGGTGTATGTCCCCCAGCGATGAAGGACAAGCTGAAACGCCAGCCAGATGTACCCTAAATCAATAAGGAAATCTAGCAATAATAAAAGGTAACATAGGGTGACAGTGCTAAAGCTGAGATTTTGCAGATTCACTTTAATGTTGTCAAATTTATCATGTTTTGTTAAATGCAATTTGTTTCAGCCCTGGCTGAGAGCAATAGCTACAACAGAGAACTAAAAAATAGAACACTATATGGGCAAAAAAAAGTTCTGTTACTTTTGTCTAGACCTAAAATTGACTTACAGTGATAACACAGGGATATTTATAAAATGGCTTCAATTTTAGTCAGTGATCAATGAAGCAAAAGGAGAACAGAGGCTACATCTGGAAGCATTAAAGCAGAGTCAAGTTCCACTTGTCACAGAGCGAGGACCAGACATCTCATCATCATAAAACATCCTCCATAGAGGAAGTAATAAAAACATGCAAAGGATATTAATGTAACATGAACCTATTTCTTTTACAGACCAATCCCAAATGTATATCAATACAGAAACAGCATGCAGACAATACAAACTATAATGTTTAGGCAACGTATTATTAACTGTACATATGGCACACTTCAGAAAAATTCATGAGCAATTTACGTGCCTTGCAAAATACTGTACAGTTTGTAACACTGTCACATCATACATATGAAAATATGTATGATTTTTGACAGTCAAAAATTAAAAGCTCACTGTCACTATAAATATTATATTTTTTCCTGTCTGTGTGACAATGTGGATATTTCCCTTGATTTCCTATCCCTGAACTGCAAATGGTAGTGAGAAAAATTCTCTATATAGCAAGGAGGTTCCTCTATTAAACAGTGGTCACCAGAACAGGTGTTCCCACTAGAAAAATCTATCTATATCTGCTGCTCTAGTTTCTTTCACTTTCTTCCCTAGTGACAATGGTCACCAGGACAAACACAGAGGGTGAATCAACCCTGCGGGAACACAGACAGCAATAAATACCTGAAAGCAGTTTGAACCATTCCACACTCTAATTAAAGCTAAAAATGAAAAGGTTTTGTTGTACATACACCATAATACTTGTAGTTATGCTACTCTGTATATGAATTCCTTTTTAATGTTACATGCCTTTATATTTTTTTTCTATATTTACATGAAGACCACACTGTCCAGCAAAGATATATTTACCAGAGATGGGACAAACTAAAACACTTCCAGCAGGAATGTTTACAATGGTAAGCTTTTATTCATACTATTTAAAGCTCCATGCACACTGGCAATGCTGCTCCTGGTGGAGTTAAGCATTTTGCCCATAGAATCAACTAATATTATCCTATGTGTCCATGCACATTAGGTAGTCTAGAGGTGTTTTTTGAGCTCAGCGTTTTGGTGGCAGAACAAAAAAAAAAAAAACAAAAAACTTTTTTTGCATTTTTGAAAGTGTTTTTCTAGCAGAAAAAAAGCTAAACCCTACTAAATGCTTCTAAGCACACCTAAAACGCTAGTACAACTCTAATAAAATGCTCATAATTAGTGTTTTTTTCTGTCAAGAACACAGTTTTATTTAAGCCAGCATTCATAGAGCCTAAACTTTTTTCTTAAAAAAACAAAACAAAAAAACCCCCACTTTTGTAACTGGTTAAAAAGTTTTAGCTAGAATTGGGCTTTAATCACTGTCTTTGAATTAGGCCCATCTGCAGATACATGTCCACATGATGACAGCACTGCAGCTATTTCACTGCAGAAGAAACAGTGTTGTCATCCTGCTAAAGAAGTTGAAAGACAGATCTACTGGCAACATCAACAGGTAAAAAACTGTTGCAGTTTGACTCAAAAAACAAAGGCTGTGTTTCTACGATTGACAAACCGCATCATATAATTTAACAAAAGTAAACCTTTTCCTAATGAAAGGTGTGCTTTATACTCACGTTGGTATAGGGACTTGACAAGGAGGACATGGCAAAGCAGTCTGGATAAAAGCTGGTTCAGAGGGCTGCTCCCAAGGACCGGCTGGCTGAGGCTGACCAGAAGGTATAAAGAGGAATGTCATTTAAAAAGGGGTTGCAGTGACAAAATTAACACTTCATAATGTAAAATTTATGCTAATACACAAATAATTCTATAAAGAGTTTAAGAAAAATTAGACATAAAAAACGCAGCTGTTCTGTACACAACCTTGAATCTATCAATCAATCTCTGTACCTCAGCATGATCCTTTCTAAGACACATATAAGCACCCTTGTTACTGCTTTTAAACATCAACTATTGCCCTACATCATAATACAGTCTGTACAGCTTCAATATTACACGTTAAGATAACTTCAAGAACGCCTTGTAAGTTGGCCTCCCAAGAAAACACATAGGACTTTTGTTCTTTTAGATCAGATCGGTCCAGGATTTTGTACGTGGACTTAATTGATGAACTAAGCTTAAAGTAATTAAGAAAACCTAACAGGAGGTTCTAAAATTTTGCCATTGTCCCTCTTGAAAACACAGTACAGTTGACTCTGTATACTCTATAGGATGGGGAATTTTAAAACTGTATTACCAAAGTTTTGCTTTTTTTTTAGGTTTTAGTTGACCTTATAATATTATGTTTATGCGGCAGGATTTTCTTTGCTGAACTATGTATCCCTTTTTTGACCTATTTTGCTACGTTTCTCTGACTGTGTAGTCATACCAGTAACTCTTAATTTTCTACAATAAACACCAAGTAAAAGAAATATGGAAACGACTTCCTGTACAGATTGACGAAATCAGTGCGACTTCCTGCACAGGTGTCAATGCAAGCACATGAAATCGCAAAACATTGTACAACCTTTTTCAAATTGGTGCGACAGAGTCGCACCAATTTAAACAGTTCCATAGCAACACATAGGGTGCGACTTGTCATGCACTTTGATCTGTCAAGTTGCACGTCAAGTCGCACTGGTGTGAACCAGGGCTTATTGACATAAAACATTCCTTAGTCATATTAATATATAATGGAGGATACCCACCCTGAGGTATGCCGTGCAGCCATCGGAGTAAAAAAACAAGTACAAAGATGGCGCACAGGTGGATAACACTCAAACGGTTCATAAAGAATGGTAGTTTGTAAAGTTCCAATGGTTAGGTAAAGATACACTGCACTCTGATGGCAGCTCCTCAGAGACTGAAGGGATCTCTGCAGTAAACAAAGACAAAGAGCGCCAAACTGGGTGCAGCATTAAAAACAAGTTTTAATAAAAATACACAAATGGTAATCCTCATTTTAAACCACCCGCGGACAGGCAGTGGGGCCAGGCTGGATCACATGTTTGTATGTCATTCAGGCTGTTCCGGGTTTTGTGAGTGCTGTGCTCCACTTTTGTGAGCGCTGTGTACACTGGACACAACGGATCACAATTACAGGTCACCAGGTAACGTGATCACTATGATTGGCCATAGCAATCACATGATACCAATGTAAACAAACTCTCAAGAATTGATTTCCATTCATGAACAGCTTGCTTAAACTTGTGATCTGTAACTGGCCCACAGCAATCACACAGTACCTGGCTACCTGTACCATGTGATTAGTTATAGCCAATCACAGATCACAATTATAAGAAAGCTGTTCATGAATGTTAACACATTATTATTATACAGTATTTATATGGCGCCAAAAGGTTTGCTCAGCGCTGTACAATATTAGACACATTCATGACAGGTAAAAAAAACTATCGCTTATACAGTGATCATCACTGTATAGGCAACAACAGTAATAGAAAAAAAAAACCCCGATCATCACCCCAGAGTAGCAAAAAGGTTTTAAAAAGTTATAAAATTTGAATGAAAAAATTATTTATTTTACATATCACCAGTCAGTATCCCTGATCACCACCACATCATCGTAGGATGACGCTGTACAGCACAGTTGACAGTATTTAACAAGAAAAAAAAAAAGGTGGAACAAAAAAACAAACAAACAAACAAGTTTTAATTTCTTCATTTTTCAAAGTATTGTGACAAAAAAAAAACAAAACAAAAAGCACTAGAATCACCATAAGTATTGGGACAACCCTCCAAATCATCAGTTTCCGGTGTTCCAAATCACCTCCATGGCCACAGGTGTATAAAATCAAGCACCTAGGCATGCAGACTGCTTCTACAAACATTTGTGAAAGATTGAGTCGCTCTCAGGAGCTCAGTAAATTCAAGCATGGTACCGTGATAGGTTGCCACCTGTGCAATAAGTCCTTTCGTGAAATTTCCTTGCTACTAAATATTCCACGATCAACTGTTAGTGGTATTATAACAAAGTGGAAGCAACTGGGAACAACAGCAACTCAGCCACGAAGTAGCCTACGCAAAATGACAGAGCGGGGTCAGCGCATGGTGAAGTACACAGAGCGCAGAAGTCACCAACTGTCAGCAGAGTCAATAGCTATAGACCTCTAAACTTTGTGTGGCCTTCAGATTAGTACAACAACAGTGTGTAGAGAGCTTCATGGAATGGGTTTTCATGGCCAAGCAGCTACATCCAAGCCTTAGATCACCAAGTGCAATGCAAACCGTCGGATGCAGTGGTGTAAAGCATGCGGCCACTGGACTCTATAGAGCAATGGAGACGTGTTCTCTGGATTGATGAATCATGCTTATCTGTCTGTCAATCCGATAGACGTGTCTGGGTTTGACAGTTGCCAGAACGGTACTTGCATACCAAAACATTTTGGACAATTTATGCTCCCAACTTTGTGGGAACAGTTTGGGGATGGCCCCTTCCGGTTCCAACATGACTGTGCAACAGTACAGAAAGCAGGGTCCATAAAAACATGGGATGAGCGAATTTGGGGTGGAGGAACTTGACTGCCTGCATATTCCCATAGATGCACTCCTAAACCTTGTGGACAGCCTACCCAGAATGGTTGAAGCTGTTATAGCTGCAAAGAATGTGCTAACTCAATATTGAACTCTATGGACCAAGACTGGGATGCAATTAAAGTTCATGTGCGAGTAAAGGCAGGGGTCCCAATACTTTTGGCAATACAGAGTGTGTGTGTGTGTGTGTGTGTATTGCGCGCGCGCGCGCACACACACACACACACACACACACACACACACACACACACACACACACACAAGTTTGTAGACGTTATAACTTTCACACAAGCCAATATACACTTATTGGGATTTACATTTTATCAAGGACATGTAGCAGAATATATTTTGGTCTACATTTATGAAGAAAATTTGATTTTATTGGATATGTTTACTAACAGAGTAAATATCTTTTTTTTCCTTACAACATTTTCGTTCTTTTTTGTTTATATAATAAATAAAAAAACCTAGTGGTGATCAAATACCAACAAAAGAAAAACTATTTGTGTGAAAAGAAAAATTATATAAAAATTTTTATTTGTGCACAGTGCTGCATGACTGCACAATTGCCAGTTAAAGTAGGACAGTGCTGAAAAGCAAAAATGGCCTGATCAGGAAGGGGGTATAACCTTCCGGAAGTCAAGTGGTAAATAACATCATGCGCATATCATCATGCTCAGTCTTGTGCTGCTGTGTCCTCTGAAGGTGTAAGTGTTCCCAGCATGACATCGCCATAGACAGTGGAATGCTGCCCTGCAGATCCAAAGGTTAGAAGCTATCCGGGGTGTCAGGCTCCCGTAGACACTTAGCCCTGGTTCACATATATGCGGCCCGCGTTTTGCATGGGCACGAGAGACCATTCATTTGAATGGACTCCTGTGCCCCGTGACACGCAGGGAAATCGTCCCTGCACTGCTTCTGAAAATGCAGCCCGCACGGGAACCTTGGTTCCCTGTACGGTTGCGGTTTCCAGTGTGGGCGGCATGCCATTAGAACTAATGGCACCCACCCACGGGTCCGCATTCCGCCCGCACAGATGTGAACCTAGCCTTAGACTCCGTTCACACCAATGCATTTGTTTAGTGCTTTTTGCAGACACACACTACAGCCCATTTAACATTGTTTCCTATGCAACATGTTTACATCTATGCTTTTTTGAGATGCTGCGTTTTTGGACAGGATCAGGGACAAAAACTACAAAAAGCACTGGAGAAAGCATCAAATGCAAAATGCATATATGTGAAGCAAGCCTTACACATCCTGAGGACGCAGCAGCACAAAACTGAGCTTAATGACATGCGCACGATCTTATTTAAAATGCAAGTACCTGCCCTTGTTTTTAATGCTGCACCCAGATCAGAGCCGTGTTTGTCTTCCTGTTTAGCCATCAATGGAGTGCAGGCATGTAGACATGCAGTGGCTGGAAAAAAGCCGCAAGAAACCAGCAACACTAGGTCAAGATAAATGGCTTACCAGTCCTTTCTGCTTCACTAGAGCTTCATCATGGCAAGGGACAGGGCAGAGGTGACCGCATTTTTGGAAGGTTTTCTGACAAACCTGTCGGCATGTCGGACATGGACCAAAATGACATCTATGTTTTTTCTCTGGTCTCATGATGGCAGGTAGGAGGGTGACTTCAAGAGGAAGACAATGCAAATGTTTGTTACATTAGTATAAATAAATAATTTTACATAAAAATGTACTGTGGTGGTAAAAAGCTTTAAATACCTGCACACCGCCTTGCAGCGTGGTGGTTTAGTACTGCGCTCTCTGCCACAAGGAACTGTCAATATAGTTTTGCCACAGTTACATTTCACATCAACAGTTACTGGACAAGGGTAACAGCTTCCTATAATTAAAAAGAAAAAAAAATATAATTCCCTTTCTACAATACCACCCACATTAAAAAAAAGACCTTCAGGCAAAAATTGTATTTGCCCATGCTGTTGGGCTGTGCCCACACTGCATGGGTTATCTGCCCCGTTTTGTCTAGGGGATTGCAGAGTGGAGATATACTTACCTAATCCACTGATCCCCACAGCTACTGCCCCCTCTTCATGCTAGCAGTCCTGTGAATGGACGGTTTCTGACATCATCACGCCCACAAACTGCCATGAGGACAGCAGGATCAGTCCACAGCTGGAAATGGGGGAGCATGGTATTCCAGAGGATTGAGTAAGTATAGCTTTTTCTTGTGCCCCTGGACAAAATAAGCAGTTAACCCATGCAGTGCGGGCACAGCGCCGCTGCATGGGATATTACATTTTCTGCCTGGAGTTCTTCTTTAAGTTTAGTGCTAAAGAAGCAAATTTGAGAATAAGAAAGCACAAAATTAAACAAAACAGCTAAATTCTACATTGATTTCTATTAGTAAACATTGGTAATGATGGAATGCAGCCATTTTATATATAACTTGGATCTCTCACTGAGTGTTACCGTAACAATGGTAGTTCGAGTGCAAGAAAGATAAACGCACAGGTAGAGACAGGTATTATGGGAGGTAGTAATATGAGACTTTACATATAATACATCCAATGGTTTCAATTCTTTTATTCTTCCTTTTGGCACTAGAGGACACTGCTTTGATGGATACTTAAACTATCCTACAACCAAACCTCCTATAGTTGCCACAGCAACATATACAAGAGTGAACAAAACTAAAAATGGTACAGACAGGAAATGTTTAGCACTTTTCCAATATGTTTTCAGATCTTCACAATAAAAAAAACAAAGAAACTTTCTTGTTTATCTTTATAAGCAGTTTTGGTAGGAGCAGTACCCACGACATGTAAGTAAGCCTGTATCTGAAGGAGTTCATATTTGTAGAAAATAGTTCCTACACATATTATTCTGAATTACAAAAGCTATATCTTCCCTGCCTATGACCAATACAGTCATGTCATTTGCTATAAAATCACAGGTGCACTTAAAGTATTAGTGTACAAATACATCAAGATCTCAGAGTATGACAACCATTTACATCTGCCTGTTTTGACGGCCATGATTGCAAATGCCTAACCATGCTTTTGTCTTGCTAAGAATTTTTTTTTTTTTTTTTTTTTTTTTAATTCTTTATTTGGATTTTACAAGTTTACAAAACAATAGATAGAGCAACATTAAGGAGTGAACAAAAAATCATCCAAGACATTGCAAAGCAGTTACACAGATGAATGTTATAATCTTTAATACACAATAAAGTTTTCGGTGTCTGTGCATATTACAACAAAACACATCCATAAAAGGTAGTGTTTGAATGTCCTTCGGATGAGAAGGATAAAACAAAAACGACAGGAGGCCTAGGCCTAATGTTGTTTTGCAATCTTTTTATCGCTTTCACAGATATTGGATTTTGCCATCAGGTAGACTAAACATTGCAAAAGTGGTCCTTCTACCAGGCTTCAGATACAAGAGTGGTCAGGAGGAGTAAAAAGAAACAGCAAGACTGAGAAATGCAAAGATAGGAAAAAGAATCCCTTTCAGGACAATATGATTTAGAGGATACTGAGCACCATATAAGGCCTGGTTCACACCTACTGTATGCTTTTTTTAGAAACTTATTACAAGCCCATTTAACATGGTTTCCTATGGGACACGTTCACATGTAAGCATTTTCAGCTGCAGGCCTAAGGCCAGGTGGTTTCACCAAGAAGGAGAGGGGATTTTATGGGCTTGCAATAAGAGTGTGGTATTCAGATGTAAATGTAAAGTATACAGTTAGGTCCATATATATATGTGGACACAGGCACAATTTTAGTTCTTTTCAGGTATTTCCCAAAACCTATTCACGCTATAGTTATATAATGGATATGGGCAGAAAGTGCACTCTCTTAGGGTTAATTTGAGGGTACGTACATCCAAATTGGAGAAAGGGTTTAGGAATTACAGCTCTTAAGAGTAGCCATCCCCCCTTTTTCAAGGGACCAAAAGTAATTGGACAATTGAATCAAAAGCGGTTTCATTGCCAGGTGTGGGCTGCTCCTTTGTTATTTCTTCATCAATTAAACAGGTCTGGAGTTGATTCTAAGTGCAGTATTTACATTTGGAATCTATTGCTGTGAACCTACATCATGCATTCAAAGGAGCTGTCCATGCAAGTGAAACAGGCCATTGTAATGCTTCAAAATCAAAAAGAAATCCATCAGAGAGATAGCAGAAACATGAGGAGTGCCCAAATCAACAGTTTGGTACATTCTGAGGAAAGAAGAACACACTGGCGAGCTCAGCAACATAAAAAGGCATGGACGTCCACAGAAGACAACAGTGGTGGATGCTCGTAGGATCCTCTCTATGGTAAAGAAAAACGCATTCACAACATCTAGACAAGTGAAGAACACACTCCAGGAGATGGGCATATCATTGTCAAAGTCTACAATCAAGAGAAGACTTCATGAGAGCAAATACAGAGGGTTCACAAGGTGCAAACCATTCATAAGCCTGAAAAATAGAAAAGTCAGATTAGACTTTTCCAGAACTGGTCTGGCTTTTATATATTTTGTTTTGGCAAAACATTCTTTGGATGGATGAAACTAAGATTAATCTGTACCAGAATGACAGGAAGAAAAAAGTGTTGAGAAGGCTTAGAACAGGTCATGATCCAAAGCACACAACATTGTTACATAGTTAGTCTGGCTTAAAAAAGACAAAAGTCCATCCAGTTCAACCATTTACAAAAAAAAAAAAGTTAACCCTATACCCACAGTTTATCCAGAGGAAGGCAAAAAAAAACCCCCCATGACCCAATTTGCTCCTGCAGGGAAACAAATTCCTTCCTAATCCCCCGAGAGGCAATTGGATATTGCCTGGATCAACTTTACCTATAAAATGTTAGTATCCACTTATATTCTGTGTATCCAAGAAAGAATCCAGGCCTTTTTTAAAGCAATCCACTGAGCTCGCCAGAACCAACTCTTGAGGGAGTCTTTTCCACATTTTCACAGCTCTTACTGTGAAGAAACCTTTCCGTGTTTGGAGATTACATTTCCTTTCCTCCAGACGTAAAGCGTGCCCCCTTGTCCTCTGTGACGACCTCAGGGTGAATAGCTTTACACTGAGTTCACTATATGAACCACTGATGTTTTTATACATGTTGATCATATCCCCCCTTAATCTCCTTTTCTAAAGAGAAAATAAATTCAGTTCCTCTAATCTTTCCTCATAGCTGAGCTTCTCCATGCCTCTTATCAGTTTGGTTGCCCTTCTCTGTACTTTCTCCAGTTCCCCAATGTTCTTTTTGTGAATTGGTGCCCAAAACTGAACTGCATATTCCAGATGAGGTGTTACTAATGATTTGTACAGGGCTAAAAATGATCTCTCTCTCTCTCTCTCTCTCTCTCTCTCTCTCTCTGGAGTCTATATCTCTTTTAATACAAGAGAGGATTTTGCTCACTTTAGAAACCGCAGCTTGGCATTGCATGCCATTATTAAGGTGACGTCATCTGTAAAACATGGTGGAGGCAGTGTGATGGCATGAGCATTCACGGCTTCCAGTGGCACTAGGTCATTGGTGTTTATTGATGATGTGACAGAAGACAGAAGAAGCCGGATGAATTCTACAGTGTTTAGAGATATACTGGCAGCCCAGATTCAGCCAAATGCAGCAAAGTTGATTGGACAGTGCTTCACAGTACAGATGGACAATGGTCCAAAACACACTAAAAAAGCAACCCAGGAGCTTTTCAAGAAAAAGAAGTGGAATATTCTGCAATGACTGAGTAAATCACCTGATCTAAACTCAATTGAGCATGCATTTCGCTTGCTGAAGGCAAAACTAAAAAGGTAGAAAGACCCACAAAGAACAACTGAAGACAGCTGCAGTTAGAGCTTGACAAAGCATCAGAAAGGAGGAAACCCAGTCTTTGGTAATGTCCATGGGTTCCAGACGTCAGGCAGTCATTGCCAGTAAAGGATTCTAAACAACATATTTAAAATGAACATTTTATTTATGATTATATTCATTTGCCCAATTACATTTGAGCCCCTGAAAATGAAGGGACCGTGTATAAAAATGGTTGCAGTTCCTAACATTTGTACTTGGTATTTATGTTCGACTCTTTGAATTAAATCTGAAAGTCTGCACTTCAAATTCATTTGGATTGTTTCATTTTAATTTATTCTGGTGGCATACAGAGCCAAAAAGTATAAAAATTGTGCCTGTGTCCAAATATATATGGACCTAACTGCATACATCTGTGCCAGCTTTTGAGGAATTGTCCCTCTTCTTTCCTCCATAGTATTGAATTTGCTTTGTTTTGCTAAAGGCTAATTGGTGAGGGAGTGTTCCGTTTCGAGTAGAGTGAGATGCAGTGCGTTTGCTGCATTCAGTATGTATCAGAAGCAATTGCTGCAGTGATACAGTAATGAAGTGGGGAAAAGTAGCAGCCAGGTCATTCCCCAACTGGAAACCATAGGTAATATGGCACAAAAAAAATGTATAACCTGAGCTTGGTAATTCTAAACAACGTGGAGGTTTCAAAGAAAAGTTAAAGTAAAGCTGAAAAGTCTGAACAGTCTAAAAAGTCTATGATCTGTAGACCATCAGAGTGAATCCTTAAAGGCTAAAGTCACCTTTGGGAACATGTTACGTGTTCCACCCGTATTTAGGGTGGAACACGTAACATTTTCCCGTAATTACAGCCTCCCCCTGATCCCACTTCTTATTGTGATAGCGGACTTTTCTCCACACCCGCTATGAAAATTTCGCCCACATGGCCACGTCATTCATTTACAGAGTTCTGTGAATGAACTACAAGTACAAACAGCCTTTGTGGCTGACGGCTCGTAGCTCTCAATGAACTACCAGGGCGCTAGTGAGCACTCTAGTAGTTCTAGTCTTCCTGTCATTCAGTAACT